TAAAATAGGCGTTGAATTTTCTCATTTGTCACTGAAATTTTTTTCTCATTTCATATACCTAATAAGGTATTAAATAAATATTTTATTAATTAAATAATAGTTGACACAGGAGTCGCGCCGGTGTCGAGTGGCGGACTCTGGCGAAGCATCGAATGTGGGACAGGCACAGAGCACTTCTGTTATCTTGACCCACATATCGTGACCGCGGTCGCGGCCGGACCGCGCCGCTATTATAGCGGAACACCTTAATTGCCCACCGATGGAAAATATCGAGAAATTCGAAAGGGCGACAACGACAACATCCAAAACATAAATTACATTCAGATCATCTAAACTTCGACTGCAAAACAAACATGGCTTAGGCTTAACAAACATAAACTATCTATTCATATACCGTGCAACGAAATTCCCAGGACATTCAAATGAACAGAAAATCAGTGACACAAAACTGCAAGAATGCAATATAATTGAACGAATGGTTAAATCAAGTTCGCAAGTGAATGAGAAAGAACGAATGTTTTTCCTCGTGACAGTATTATCAAAACAGAACCTTGACCCAGAATGTGGTTCGTAACAACAAGAGGAAAAGGACGTTACGAAGATGCTGTCAGGATCGCATCAAGTGATGTCATATCGTCTGAGTATTTAAGACTGGTTTCATTTTATTTATATACATTTTTGAGCGTCCTTCACGATTTTTATTTACGTCCATGTGTTAGACGGCCGGATTTTAGGTTCGTTTAATAACCACACATTTGTTTGCTACCTAAATATTAATAGCAAAACAAATAATAAAAGTCTTGAGCTGAGTATTATTAGATTCATGTGATTGCTTAATATGTAATTAAATAACATATCAAATATTCAAAGTATTACCTACTTGTTTGAAATCAATACTCATAAAAAACAGTAATTATCTGGTCAGAACTATTATAATATTTACGTATATTGAAATTATTTAACATATTATTCCGACTCCAATTAAAACAAGGTCACCAAGTAATGGAGTAATTCGATTATGCGTTAACTCGAAAATTGACTCGGTTACATGGACCTTTCTCTTCAATGTAGGTTAAATAAAGTACCCACTCGCGTTGTGGCACCGCACCGCTTTGATTAAGGACAATATTATTATGTACCGCGCGAAGGACGAGTGTTCACTTCAAGGACTAACCTCCGTCTAAATGCATTGAATTAGGTACCTGCTACATTAAAAAGCTTACATATTTCGATATTAATCTGATAAGGCATGGTCAGATATGAATTTACAGCCATTCGGTATGTCATTGTCACCTGAAACTATGTCAGCTGTGCACTCAAAATGTATGATTCAACAGTGTTGCGGGTCGCTGTTCATACAAACATTAAATTCATATTTAATGAGTGACCATGGGGGAGTTATGGTGACTGCAATACAACAAGTAGTCATGGTGCAATATAGCGTTACATGAAACAGATCCCAGGAAAGCGTGAGCAATATTTTATTAGTCATTTGTGTGGGTGTTTTTATTGCATTTCCCCACAAGCATTGCACTCTGTCTACGTGATGAACGGGACTTATTAAGCACAGTACTGCACTAGTTACTGCAATTATCTGGCATTTTCCAGACTGAGGTCATTCGAATCTCGAGATAAACAGTGCGTCATTCTCATGTAGAACGCGTCACATAAGATACTTATTTCCTTAGCAAATAACATATTTCCTTTAGCGTCTGATGAGATTTGTCCTTTAATTCTTCTTCAAAGGTTAGTCGTCACGCGTCATCGTACACTGATTTCCCTTTTCATTGAATACAGCAATCGTCATATTAATTTCAAGCGTTGAGGAGCGTGAGATACCGCCGCCGCAACTGTTCGCTTATCACGTGTGATAATATGGCGTTATATAGCCGCATTGTAAACAACTGCGATTGGTTACAAAATAAACATAAAACGGTTTTCAATTGCGGGTTCGGTTGGCAAATTCAGATTCGAGGGGTCTTAAAGGGTAGTATTGTTGGAATCTAAACCTTGTTCGTTTATTTGTAATAAATAGAGCCTTTATTGGTCTAGTGAGAGTATGTGTGTGCTTTATTCTTTCATATTTTAAAACACGATTGTACAGTAAGATCTGTCTTTATTTATCAACTTAATCTGCCAAAACTCCTAACACTTAATCACATTTTACAAACAATTTCAAAAAAGATTTTCCATAAAATAAATTTCCGTCAGTGACTTCCAAAGCTTTTAATCGTTCAGTGTTGTGGTGGCTGATAGCGGCATGAAGCACCAACCGCTCTCGTTGGAACCTTGATACCGTGTGAGTGTGATAACTTATCAGCTGATAGATAACGACACCCGCGACATAACAAAACTTACAGCTCGTTTCTAATTTACACAATATTTTCTGTTTTCAACGTTAAATATTCGTTAGAGACATCTAATAATAAGTCAAAAACATAATCAGGACGAAGCAAATCTGTCTGAACTCATTTACATGCTCGAAGCGTGCGTAGCGTTGTATCGTAAGTAGTTAATACATAATTAAGATACAATAAACCGGATTTAGCAACGCCGGACCGACTGCTCCAGTCGCGAACGCAGTATAGTTTTAAATACTTACAGTGACCCGCCAGACATAAATGAAGCGTTTAATAACCTGTAAGGTCACCTCTATTTTAATATTAACAAAGGAATTCTACAAGTTGACTATTGTTTTTGATTTTAAGTTTAAATTAACTTGAAGTGCACAACAACTATTGAGTTGAGGTAGATGTTTTATCGACCTTGAGTTTCTTAAGAACTCTGTATTTACTTTTTTCAAACATACGAGAGAGGAATTCCAAAATCCAAAAAGTGTTCCGATCATTTACGTATCATGGTATTTTCCAATAACATGAAAGTGAAAATTTCAATGTATGTAAAGAACAAGCTTGCTAATAAATTTATGATGGTCGTTAGCTTCATACAAGAATTTATGGGGTATAAAACGCAGAAAAACGCAGACAGTCATTATAACAGTGTTGATATTAGGTTGATTACATTAAGGAAGTTTAGTGGTAGAGCCACTTTTTAGAGAAGTAAAATAATGAAGATATTTGGCTACCTACTTTATAACCATCGACGCGGTAGTCAACTTCTTTTAATATGGTAGTAAAACAGTTAATTACACGGTTGTTGGCGGCAGATCAGTATCAATCAGACACAATTTATGTATAGCTTTGGCTTCCTCCCTCCAGAAATTCGCAAATACGTGACCTAGAACTGGGTAGAATCATAACAGTGAAGGAATGAGCACATTCAGGACAAAATTGAAGTCGTGCTCTGTATGCACAGAGGGTGATAAAGGGTGTGGGGGCAGAGCCGCGGTCCGTATGTCGTGTTCGTCAAATGCTATGAATAATTTAGAGGAGAATCTCGACACTCAATGGACATGGCCACCCGAGTACGAAAATTAAAGTCAAAATTCCTCAAAAAAAAACACCAGGCGATATTTTCTATTTCTACACCAAAATCTATTGGATGTTCACAAGTCTGAAAATATTATTCATAGATATTTTTGTGCAATGAACTAAATGATTAACGCTAGTTCATTCTTGTACGTCAAGGGTAAACAATGGTCAAGATAACCTTATAGCTACGACATAGTTACTTATGATATTACAAGAATTTATAAGACAAAGCGTAAACAGGTAAGAACAAAGACGTCCATCAACTACCTAGATAATCACAGTGCACGCAACTGGTGCCTGGGCGGAGGCCCGCTTATGGGAAAGTTACAATCATTACGACCATTCATAAACGGTTGAATGAGCGCAAGACGCCTGCGCAGCCGGCGAGCGCGCGCGCACCGACCCCGCGAGTCCCGCGACATCTGTGAAGTTGCCGTGCAGATGCCGCGCATACCTCAACATAAACTAAACAGAAGTAGAGCCAGATAACATTCACTGCTCACAATCAGTGATAACTTTCAGACTTGAATAGGCAGTATCAATGTAATTGCAAGCATCTTTTTGCGCAATGTTCCTGGTAAAGTGTAATGAACCCAAACGCGACACCTAGTAGCACCCGATGCGTCACCGCCTATGTAGACGAGAAAAATTCCACGCGACAAAAGCAGCGATGTCCGCAAACGACGCATAAATAATTAGACAATAAGCAGGCAGGGCAAGAAATCGGTAATTTGTATCGCGCCGAGATAGGCGGAGCGCAGAGGGAGACGGGTGCAGGCAGGCGCGCGCCGCCGCGGAGATATGGCAACGCGTCAGGTGGAAGTGGCGCCCGTGCTGTGCTCGCTTCTCGCCGAGGACGACCGACCGCCCCCGGCGCCCCGCACGCCCGCCCCTCACCCGCTAATCCTCACCCGAACACAATCTGATAAAATTCGCGCCAGCTATGAACATTACGCAAAGCTACTCAACACTACAACACTGCGATAATGAATGACCCGACAGTTTTTTTAGCACGCACATAAACATTACTCCTCAAGTCTCTACATTGTGTCGGATTTTCGAACGGTACGAAGCGAAAAATGTATTAAGAAAGTTATTTCCTCAACCTGGCGAAACTAGTCTCGCGAACGCATTACGGTCCGCGTTACGGCCAGGTGAATTCAAAATGACCTCTATGGGCCGGTGGCTTCTTGTGGCCTCGCTCGCCGAATGCGTTGACATTTTGTGGGTTAGCAACATGACATGACTCTGAGTTGTGGCGAGAACGATGCCAGGATGACTAACGGGCAACCGTCATTAGCCGCCTAAACGTAAATTGTCCTATACAAAAACTTTAACGCAATAGATCGATTCGGCAGTTGTAGCGCAATAAGGTGAATTTTGTATATCAGCATCTACTAACGATAATCACATCGTCTACTTAGACGTCGTGGACTCATTATTTAGGAAATACTAAACATACTACGGTCACCCGAGAACAATAGCGCACAATACTAACATCACGTAAATCGTAATGATTTCGAAAGAAAAGTACATACGAGTTCTTTCATCAATGTAAAAGTGACTTACCAAGGCGAAGAAGTTCGTGTGGCAATCCTCGAGACTTGCACCGTTTGTTTGGTGATTTTGATGCGTCATGGTAGTCCGGGGCACTTCATTTTCATATCACAACACTAATAACGGGTTCAATCTTAAAGAAACCACTCAAAATCTTAAAATCATCACCGACATTTAGTGAAGTTTTCACCTTTCAATGGCGACTGGAAAATGGCGGATAGGAAACAACAACCCAAGCCGACAGTGCTGCCACAGGCGGTCGAAGACCGAAACTAGTTTCGTCTAGAAATGTAGACGCGTTCCGTTCAACTTATAGCTGACTTCATTAGGTAGTTTTATGATAATATTTTAGTTAATTTTCTTTGAAAATATGTATAAGCCAATTTTAAAGCAACATTTGAATTAAAAAAAAATAACTATTCATTTACAAACTCAAGATTCAATAAAAGAAACTTTTTCGTTTGAAAATTTAAAAGATACACTTAATTCCAATTTCTTTTTTTAATCAATAATATAATGAAAATAAAATAAACAACCCAACAAACAATAAAAATAAAACCATAATTATTATAATACTGCATAACTGTGCGTGTAAAGAATTCTCCATGTTCTTGTTATGTCAAACGCAAAACGGGATAATAATAGCAGTTTAAATAATTTATTTTCATGATTATTTAAATTAATAATACTATAAGAACCTCTTATCAAAGAAGTTAGCTGTAATTATAAAATAAAATGTTCCGAAATGTGCTATGTTCAGTTCCACGAAAACATTTACAGGTTATTTTTTGCACACCTTACCTAATGCACGAAATATATCGAAAGTTTTTATGTTATTATAATACTATAACATAATTATATCAATTCACAGGTTATAACAGTCAGATATAAGCAGAAGAAGTTTCCGAAAGCAGACAAAAAACTCCAAGCAGCTGCAGAATCATTAGCTGCCAGAGGGTCAGTATCCAATCTTCTATTTTACTGTTGTATCTAGTCAATTATAGTTTGTGCATCTCAAAACTTGTTCCAGTAAATGAACTAATCGTCATATGCCTACAGATTTGAAACCACTAAACATTTACTCAAAATTGTTTTTTGGGTAAGTTCCTTTGATGAAAACATATTCCTGTTGTATGCTTTTCCAGGTTTCTGAGACCAACAAAACCATGGGATCCACCAGCAAACATAGACGAGACTATTTCTAAAATATGTTCATCTAAAGGTCTCAACAATGATGCTGAGTTTGATGCACTGGAAACTAAGTTTGCTGTACTCAAGGCTTGTTATGACGAGACCGGATATGATGTACCTAATTCCTTACTTCACACCATAGATAGTGTTGGTATGTATGACAAAATGTTATGTATTAAGATTTTATTTAGTGAAACTATGTAATGCAATTATTGTCTAGTTTGTAGAAGCATATTAACCTCTGATATGCCAGAGTGCAGATACATGTGGGACACAATTTCTTTTCCATTTTTCTCATATACTGGCAGACAAGAGGTTAATCTTAATCATTCCTATTTAGTTTATTTTATTGGTCCTACATTTATCTTTAGTTACACCTAAACATGTAATAGCTGTCCCAAATTCACATACATATCACATTATCACTAAAATTCCTTACTACCAATCCTAAAAATATAAATAATAGTAACTCTTCAATCCATCATCCATCCAGTATTTAAAATTCAGTAAAATGTATTTTAATTGTAACATACACTATTTTTATTCAGTATCCTATTATTGTTTTTCAGCGGATTTAAAACAATTTTATAAGACTCCTGTGGACACCGCTACACCATTTGAGGCTCTGAAGAGAATGGAATTGCCCAAAAACTTGCATGTTCAGCCAGACTATGTCCGATTCCATCCAGGTATAATAGAGACTCACAGTTCTGAATTTCATTTGGTAGACTCAAGAATCTTGTATTGATTATTGAGATTGATTTATAAATGCTGCATTATTTTTTCCTTCATTTGGCCTGACTTTACTACCAAATCTTCTATGTTCAATATAATATTTTAACAACATATATTTACGCGGGTATTAATGCGGAAAATTATTATTTGAATACCTTGGTAGGCTTGACATTTCGACCCAGTTGCACAGGTCGTGGTCACAAGCAGACTGAGACAGGATTCAGCAGAAGTCTGCTTGTGACCACATTATTAATATGAAACGCGAAAATTTAAAAGTTAGTAATATAATAACAATAATAAAGCAACACACACATGGTCTTTGTGCTAAACAAGAATAAAAAAATAATAATTAAAGTTTACTTCTGCCTGACAAAAGCTGATTTTGCAATCTTTATTTTATTTCAGATAAAGATACCATGTTCAATGGTATATCTGCATTTCCCAAGAGTTCCACAATTGTGTCTGGTTTGAAGACTAGAAAGAAGTACGAAGGCTACTCTGCAAAGCGATCATGGCCCTAATGAATTACATAGTTCTAAATAAATGTTGTATAGTTTTAGTTGATAAATAAAAGTGTTTAACTTATGTGTATTTTTAATTTCGTGTAAGATATTGTGTTAGTTGAATAGTAAATAATACAGAAAGGGTAATTTTGGTCAGTACCCATGTATGATCGCCATTCCGATCGAGCGAATGGACTCCTAGTTTGGGGCTTTCTGTTTATCACAGCTCACACACAGCTGAAACTTTGCGTAAGTAAAGTCTATGTGGGTTCATGTTTTGAATTTAGTCAAGATACATTACAGGAAAATTTAAAATGAATATTAAAATAATTTGAGTAGCACTTTTAGTTAAACTTGGTCATGGAAATAGTTCTTCAATTTCTTCTCAAACAGTATCTCCATGTGGTACGTTGCGACCCACTCGCCCAGGGCAAGGCAAGAGGGAGTGTGACTCTTACTGACTAAAAACGGTGAACGGGGCGTTCCTTCTCCTGCCGGCGAGGCCAAGGTATATGTTTGCGCTTCATACCCCCGGCTCTTGACACGCAACTCCGGCTACGTAGCCCCTTACTGTGCAGAAGTACATTGTGCAGTGATGCTTGTGCTATTACTGTTACAGTTTACCTCACCATATTGCGACAGTTGTTCATCTTTAATCTAATGTTTTATATAGAACTTCGTGTTACCTACTACGAGTTTATGTCCCGGGAGTCAAAGTCAAGACCCCTTCAGGATCCCTCGATCAAGGTTCATCAAATCAAATAATCAATATAGGTCTACTCGTTTTTTCTATTTCGCTATCCTGTGACCGTTTTTATTTTACTAAGAATAAGTATATTTTTAGCCGAAATGTAAATCGCAACGAATCACTTTCTCTTTTCTTAAAACCCGTTTTTGAACGAATCGAAATTGACAGATCATATGAAAGTAGATTTCAACATATTTTGAGGTTATAGACGAGACGAATCTCGATCTCGATCTAATATGAACGTATTTACTCAACTAATTAGCGAATGATTAAACGAAATGATTTAACCGTTCAAAAATGAACGCCCTATTGATATTATTTTTGATATTTGTCGTTATTTACTCTTGTGTTTCGTGGTAAGTAGTTAATTTTGCGATGACACCGCTATTTTTATTATTGTTTTGTGTTTTGTTTACTATTCTGCAACATCGGATATTTTTAGGCTCCTACCGACGTTACTGGCATGGCTGTTTATGAGAAAATACCACATAAAGTTGAAAATTGGTAGAATCGCTGTGCCAAAGTTGATACTGAAAGATGTAAGCCTATCCAAAGATAGGTATTCCATAGTAAGTTGTGATTAATTTACATTTTTAGTTCTTTAAGTAATGTTAGTGTTCAGCTTAATTGTCTCGTGATGTCTGTCCCAATGAGTTGCATTGGAATTGACAGTAGGGTAAACAAAGTTCCAATAACAAAGTGTTTAAATTTTACAAAAATAATAATACACAGATTGATATAACAATCTACATTCTAAAAAGAAATCTATTGAACATAGACTATAATAAAGTCAAGTAAGTAAAACATAAATAAACATAAAACACATGTAAATTGCAATCTAAAACAAAACATAGAATACATGTAATTCAAAATCATCATAAAATTTTATTACTGCATAAAATAATACAGATAACCACTTATAATAAAACTCATGTTATTTACAGCATATAGATGAAATATCATTTCAAAGTAGTTGCTTTAACTCCGAAATCAATAAACTTGTATCTGTCGTCATACGAGGAGTGGAAGTCACTAACAATGTGGAGGAAAAAAAGAATGTTGTTGTGGAAACCATCCTCAAACCACTGCTGTCAAAGCAGAACTCTGCCGCAAGATCCGATAGTTATGAAGACATGGCGGACTTCAGTAATCTTGAGAGTAACCTGAATAGGATAGCAAATAAGAAGCTGTTGGATTTTAGAGACAAGAAACTGCCACCGAGTTTGATTATGTTTGCTCAGGTATGACCTAATATACCATTAATTTATACCTATAAAACAACTCAATGATGAGTGAGTGAATGAGTAACATAGAAAAGATTGTTATGACTCAAATTCTTAATCATGAGAATCCAGAAGAGGATCTGAGACCATTTCAGCAAAGGTCTTCCCATGACCTTGAAAAAATGTTTTATTATCATTTCCAGAAATAAATATGTTTTAATGTTTATATGAGCAGAGGTATATCACTTTACCAGATGCCGCCACTCACTAATATAATTATCATTACACTGCTACTGCTTAATTCAATTACATTATTAGATTTATTAGTATTGTCACTTTATGAGTCATTACTTGTTGTAGACTTTTGATTTGTACCTTATGTGTAAAGAGTATATCATTAATTTTTTTCATTTCTATTGCATACACTCTTTAGAAATGATTGTGAAAGGAAATCCTAATATTTTGAACATGAAAATTTGTAAGTATGAAATGGATTTTGATCAAATTTAGCACATAGATAAATAATCACCTGAATTAACAGAAAGGCTACTTTTCATGGCTACTGCCTGAGGTTAGCTTAGTATAAGATGTGGAGTACACACATTTAGTTAAAGAAGAAAAAAATCGTTTTTATCAGTTACTTACCTCTAACCGATTCAACATAAAAGTTATTTTTATTTAAAAGTAAACATTATGATAGCCTAAGCATTAAAAAAAAAATTTTTCCCTTGCAGTTCATGGGGGTACACATATTTAATGCATCAGCCACCATCCACAGTGGGACAGAGAACCCGTGGTCCCTAACTCTTACTGCTGCGGAAGTGCACGCAGATGGCGCTGCGGGCGGGCCTGCGCGTGCGCTGGTATTCTCTACGAAGTTAGTGGAAGCTAAGGCGAAGGTGGTGGGAAAGGGGGAGTGTTTGGGGGAAGCTGCCTGCTGTCTGGTGATTGAGGGAACAGTGAAAGCTGATGGGCCTTTGAATGTAGAGGTAAGTTAATTAATTTGATTGTACAGCGTGATTCAAATAAGAATAAAATAGACAATGCTTATTATTAAAAAGAAAAAATAGGGTTGGTAACAAAAATTGTAATAACTCACACTGCCTTAGCAATATTGTAATAAATCATGATATTCCTTCCAGCATAAGTAGAAGCATTACAAAAATGTTCTGGAAGATCAATAATTTATATATTATTTCTGACCACAATAAACGTTTTATTTTAGAAAATCCACGCATTAGTCAGTAGTACGTCAGTGACGTTTAAAGACGAGTTGTATCAGTTCTTGAAGAGCCAGAAGAAGCGCCGGCGCACCCCCGTATTGCATGTCAATGATGAAGATCATCTCGCCACTTTAATCCCGAGATTCTCGCCTGTTATACCAAAGGTAATATTTTGCATCTTGTAGTTTTAGCATAAGGATTATTTTTCTTTAACTCTATAAACAATGAACGCCTCTAATAAAGGTAGCATCTTTAACCTTATTGTCACAGCGTACGGGTAAGTTTTAATTAACGAAGTACATTTACGAAATACAGTTTTTCAAGAAATAAATAATAATAAGTATCTAATTCTAGTGTTTCGTTTTTTAACATAGTTAAACATTTGTAAGATATACATAAGTTGTTTTAGTTGTATTTCTTAAGTTCTACAAAAATAGCCGCTATTTACATGTATTTCTCTCCAATAACTATGGAAAGCCAATAATCAACAATACTTTGTTTCAGATTTTCAGCCTAAAGATAGACTCGACAAGAATAAGCTGTAAAGACAAGACTGTAAATACTAATTTCGAAATGTCTCTACAGAGTTTACAAGTAAGTAACTTAAAAAATCGTCATCATCGTTATATTTAGTCCACCAAATCTTTTTGTGTTCAATAGTTAGTTTTTGGAGGATAGATTTAATCTATAAAACATCATGATATGACCAACAAGAGATAAGCGAGCAAGCTAGATGTAATAATACAAGTAATTGTAATGAATAACCATTGAAAAAAATACATCCGAACTTATTTTAGTCAAATAACATAGCGTCGTGTTTTGCCGTGTTAGTGAAGTTACTTGAGGCACATTCCTCTCCGTCCTCCAGTCGTTAAATCTCCAAAACTCTAATTCCGAAAAGGCCGGTAACGCACTCTTAACTTCTTCGTAGTTACATTGTGTCCATGAGCGGCGCTGATTGCTTACCATCAGGTAATACGAAGGCTCGTTTGCCGGCCTATAACATAAAAATTAGGTGCTTTTTTTTAACTTTGCCTCACACTAGGATTTTCTCCCGTGTCGTGGGTGCGGTTACTAACATACAATTTCACATACACATGACATCCAGACTCGGATCAACAATTTGTAGATCACATAAAGAGTTGTGTAATATGGGTGCTAAAACAATATTGATCTACCCTTATCTTCCATCAGGTAAACTCTAGATTCAGTGCAGCATCAGTACACTACGACGAGACTGGTGTGGAGGTGGGCGGTCTACCGCAGGTGTACGTCGCCTTCCAGATGGAGCAGTACCAGCTGGTAGCAGACGCACAGCCTTTAGCTGTTCTTAACAAGCTCAAACTTGATGCTAAGGTGGGAATATAACAGAAACACCCTATATAAACCATATCTATACTAATATTATAAAGCTGTAGAGTTTGTTTGTTTTTTTGAACGCGCTAATCTCTGGAACTACTAGTTCAAAGTGAACGATTCTTTTTGTGTTGGATAGTCCATTTGTCGAGGAAGGCTATAGGCTATAAAACATCACGCTACGATTTGTAGGAGCCGAGCAGCGGGTAAAACCATGGGACAGTAGCTACTTTCATTCATAAACAAAAAATTTAAGAATAATACTAACAATAACAGCATAGATAGCAAACTTTAACAAGGTATACTGGAGTTTCATCTTTATCTTTGAAACTATAGAGATTAAAATATTTTGATAATACAATAAATTACCTAGTTCATTAAGATTTTTTAAATATTATTTGACCACACACTACACACTTGTATTTTCTCGAACCACACACAAATTTCACATCACAATCAGACTGGGAAAAACAATTTGTTGCAATTAAAGACAAAGCAACATACATACTGCAGTCCTGCGACAGGATATTTCAGCAAAACACTAATACTGATTTTATAATGTAAGCAATAAGGTTGGTTTTTGTATTTAATGCTATACTAACTTATAGAATCTGTAAATAATTTTATATATTGTTTCGTTTCAGTTGGAGAAAGGAGTTTTAAATCTATATTTAATAATAAGTACATTGAACATAAGTTATAGTCATACGGACGCATTTAAATGGTTCAAGTCTGTTAAAGACAAAATAAGGAAAGCACAGCCGTTACAAATTATGGAAGTGGAGTCGACCTGTGAGTATATTAATGTCTTCTTAGTACATAACATGTTATCGATCGTTTTTGGCTACTTCTATGATTTATTGCTATCGATTGTAGCTATCTATCAGTGAAAGAATTTTGGTAATCCGACCAGCGGTTCCAAAGATTACCCCCTACATACAATCTTACAAATTTTACCTCTTTATGATACTACTATAGATAAGTGACCCTGTTTCGCACCGGTGTCCAATGACCAAGCTCGTCACGACTAAAGATGATTTAATAGCTATTTTCTATAAATTAATTGAAATAAGTTTAGTTTTCTTACTCGAGATTGACGCTTAGCAACATAATTATAGGTATTTATGGATTCACTTTTATACAACTACACCGGTGCCAGTCATTTGTTTTGTAAACGAACCACCACTGCATTGAAAGTGCTTCTATTTTCCAAAATTATTCTCTTCTTGGCGTGAAGTAATCACAGCGTTGCGTTTCGCAGTGTGAGTGAGGTTACCGGAGGCCCAATCCTTCCCCTCCCCCACTCCCTCCTCAATCCCTAAATCTCCAAATCCCTAATCCCTAAAAGGTCGGCAACGCACTCGTAAATCCTCCGTTGCCTGATTTGCCTGCCGTTGGGTGTCCATGGGCGGCGCTGATGGCTTACCATCAGGTCCGTCTGCTCATTTGCCGACCTATCACTTAAAATAAAAAAAATACTTTCCTAAAATATTTTATAAGAACCTTCACCGGATTTTCGTCAGTACATAATAAAAATTACTATCGGAATTGGTCTAGTCGTTCACGCGTGATATCATGACCAAAGAAAATTAGAATTTATTTCCATGTATTTTTGTTCTAGCTCCCTCGCCCCCAGTATGGTTGTCCCGTATATTCTCGTCGTGCATAGTGCAGGGGTGCGCGGAGTTACGTGCAGTGTCCGTACACGCGCGACTGACCAATCACAACGCACTCGGCTTCGGTTGCAGTGGCGTCAAGGTCAAACTCGATCAGCTGTTAGAGACTAGAGGTTTGTACGAAAGTAGTCTTATTGTTGTTGTGATAAAGTTCATTTTATCCATCTGTTGAGGTGGTTCTCCTCATATATTATTAAAAGATCCCAGGCTGTAGTGATTAATAATTACATATCTACTTGGGTCTCAGTGCCTAGCGGAGTGCCTCAGGGTTCGTTACTTGGGCCCTTTTTATTTGTGATCTATGTAAACGACATTGATCTGTGCCTGCAGTCATCCAAACTGCTGTGTTTCGCTGATGACATGAAAATCTTTTCCAAAATATCATCGGTCGATGATGGATTAGCACTTCAGGCAGATCTATACCGTCTTGAAGACTACTGTAGAGCTAATAAACTCGATCTGAATCCATCCAAGTGTTCAGTAATTACTTACACGAGGAAACGTGCCACTCTAGTCACCAACTACATCTTATCGGGCCAGACTTTGCCAAGGTGTGATTCTATTCGTGACTTAGGTGTGCATCAGGATAGCAAATTAGTTTTTGACACCCACATTGACACTATTATCAAAAAAGCCTCTAAATTGCTTGGGTTTATTATGCGTCTCTCTAAGTGCTTTAATAACGCAAAAACACTTAAAACTCTGTATTGCACCTTTGTCAGAAGTCAGCTTGAGTATGCGTCTCAGATATGGAACCCACATTACCACAAGTACATCGACCGAATAGAAAACATCCAAAGACGCTTTTTTTTTTTTTTTTTTTTTTTTTTTTTTTTTTTTTTTTTTTTTTTTTTTTTTTTTTATAAAAACGTTGCCCCACACTAGGATTTTCTCCTGTGTTGTGGGTGCGTTTACAAACATACAAATTCACATACACATCACACCCAGACCCGGATCAACAATTTGTGGATCACACAAAGAGTTGTTCCGTGCGGGAATCGAACCCGCGACACGTTGCACGGCAGCCAGTTGTCCAGCCACCGCGCCAACCGTGCAGTCATTAAATATCTTTGTTTTCATTAAAAAATCCCTTATCACTCCATCGATTACCTTCGACTCTGTAAGAAATTTCATTTATTACCTCTCAAAGATCGACGTGAGATTGCCGACTTTCTGTACGTATTAAAAATCTTCAATAACATTATTGACAGCCCCGAACTTCTTATTAAATTTCACTTAAATGTACCGCAAAAATTATTCCGCAATAACCCACCCTTACGTGTGCCTTTAGCATCAACAAATTACAGACAGAATAGTTTCATTGTACGAGCGAGTAGACAGTTCAATAATTTATGTAAGCAGTATGACTTTGATCCCTTTACGACTGGCGTGGCGTCGGCCAGAAGACGTATTAGCCTAAGGTTTTTTAAGTAGCATTTTGATTGTATCCCTAGTTTTCGGAAATGTCTATAATAATTGCATCACTTAGTATTTTTTTTTCTCTTTTCTTAACTAAAGGTTTCTAGTTAATAATCATTGATCCATGCAATTTACTTGTGTAATAAGCTGTAATCACTGTAAAAATATTGATATGCTCACTTCTTAATTTTTAAGTCTGTCACTATACGTGAGAACTTGTAATTGGCTTTCCGTAGTTTATGTTGGCTTCTATTTTTAGTTAGATTAAGCTGTAAGTCCTCCATGCAGAGTGTAATAAATAAATAAATAAATAAATTTAATTTTAAAGTTCACAGTTTTTTAAGTAAAATATAACAGTACGTATAGAGAGTAGAATTTCAGGTAGGAATAGATGTAAGAACTAGCTCCGAGCTTATGGCGCGTAGCATTCCGCGCGTGCCTTATTCAACCAATACTTCACCTTAGGTGGGACTCAATAGGGCTGACGTCCAGCATGGATTGCTTACGAAATAAAAAATAAATGAAATTGTTCTTGTACCTATTCAAGCTTCAAAATTTTTCATACCATTTTGCCACTATTTTGAACTGTATTCCGTTTATAATGTTAAAATTGATGTGATTCAAATGATACTCAATTTTTCATTTGCAATAGAATTCCTCTTTGGTTGATTACGTTCATAAAATGACTGTATATTTACTTACTCGTTGACTCGTCGTGATCACTCTAAATGGAACTTAAAATCAACGATAATAAACTTTAAATTGCATCGTCCACTTTTTTTATTTGCAGAAGAGTGGTACCGCTGTTCAGTAGCTCGTCAGGCGGTAGGGGGTAATCAATGGGGAGCTGAACTGCTGGTGGATGGGGGGTGGATGGCGTGTGGACCGGTCGCGTTAACTATACGCTCCCCTCCACCGCGGAGACACCATACTTGGGGGGAGGCTTTGTTAGCTGTGGCACTTGTAAAGTGGGCCACTCATGGACCGAATGACTCTAAGGTAAATATTAAGCGATAGATATTAGTATGAATTTGTAACTTAATACTTACCAAAAATAAACCTTATTTCCATTTGAGTCACAATTTAAATTCTACTTAATTGTAATGTTTAACCTAAAAGTCAACATGTGTTAAAATAAGTCTTTATTCCGTTTCAATAGAGTTGCAATTTGAGCACTTATCTGTTGTTTTTGTCATCAGCGTGAAGTCAAAACTTTTATTACCCGTAGGGGTAGGCTGAACAGTATTATACTTTGAACATCCACTTTTTGATAGTCATGCTCGAGTCTATCGGTCACAATATCAGACTCCTTATACGTAATAATAACTCGCGACCCACCCCGACTTCGCATGGATGTCATGCTGATACTAAATTATTAAATTATACAAACATATAAACCTTCCTCTTTAATCACTCTATATAACAAAACAACCGCATCAAATTCTGTTGCTTAGTTTTAAATGCAGTGATGATGAATTTTTGCAATGTAGTGATGATGAGAGTTATTAAGAGAGTTTTAATAAATATGCGAATGATAATAATTTTCTAATTTTAACCACAGGTAGAAGCAATGGTAGACTGTCTCCGTCTAGAATGGAGCCCTGTTATAGCTCAAACCATCATATCACTAGCAGACTGCATTAACGAGTACAAGACCCCGTCTGCAAGGGTTCAGGACCTTGAAGAAGTCCCAGAGACCAGCTCCAATATATCTGTTAACGTGGCCTTGTCTCATATTAATCTGTTCCTCATTGTCAACGAGGATATGTGCCTCATGACTAGGGTAGATGCTGTGACCTTGGAGAAGAATGTTAGCAAATCTGGTGCTGTTATATCTGGATTGAAGGTTGTGGATATAGTGCCTTATAAGGGTGAGTCTGTTTTTGTAGTCTGTGGCTTATGTTTATAATTATTCAAAGAGTTTATATTAAAACTTGCGGCCTCTGCCTGGTTGCAGTGCTTTGTTGTCAGTCATTTGTTTTATTAGCGAACCGCCACGGCATCAAATGAGTTGATATTTTCCAATTAACCTTTTACATTTTACTTATATCTTTTTTTCATAACAACTTTGTTCTCATAATAACACATTAAAATCGTCCACGCGTGATTCCACTACCAAGGAAAATGAAGATTCATTTTATGTTTGTGTTAGATAAGATTTTTGCCGTTGTCCACATTTTAATGTAAAAATATTTACACAAATGGCCTAATTCGACAGTGGCGCCAAATAGCAAATGAAAAAGCAAACTTTATAGATAGAACAGCTTATGTTTGTTTAGATTATGACTAATTACATGGAATTATTGCAGGAAACATCCATTGTCAGCGATCAGACGAGATTCCATCGACATTTTTCCACGTGAAATTAGCAAGGATAGAGTATCTTCTCTCGAAAGAGAAATACTCCGCCCTCCTAGATGTCCAATTCATTGAGAACGTGGACTTAGAGTGGAGTGCCAACTTACACCTTAAAGTTCTAACCTTCGTTAGAGCCGTAAAGGAGTTCCAGCAAGAGTTGAGAGTGAGAAGAAGTGAAGTTGTGAAGAAGGAAGGAAGAGCACTTGACTGGAGGGTTGCTTTTAAGGGGGAGACGAATTTGGGACTTATTCTGTCAATGGAAAATAATATGCTGTTTGCTACTGGTTAGTAAGATAAGTTTCTTTTTTTATTATGACGTTCTAAGTCCCGGGTAATGTTGTCGGGTTAAAGCACGGAAATAATAATAGGTTCTACTTTCAAATCTTAATCATACTTATAATATATTATAAACGTGAAAATTTGTAACGAGTACATGGATGAAGGTTTGTTACTGTTTAACAAAACTATTGCATGGATTCGAATAAAATTATTATTATTATGTGTATATACATCAACACGGTTGGGTGACCACATTTTAAGAATTAAAGTTTATCAGTAACCACTTTTGCGGTAGAGACCTGTCTCTTAGTTGGTTCTAACGATTTCGGAAGAGAAGGGGCAGTGACAGATTTTTTTAATCGTTATCCATTTTAAATGACTTCTGCTTTATTTCTACATCTTCTTTACATAGTATTAACTCCCTTATATCTTAGGCCATATAATGCTTACCATCTACCAAAATGGTGACCAACATAGACCTATTAATAACTGTGAAAAGAATCTATACCATTTAACTTAGGTACTGTTAAATTTTCTAGATGACATGACAATAGCCTACGACCACGAGATAGGCCTATCCATCGTGTGGAGCAAGCTGAACATGATCCTCAATGGAGACGAGGTCATAATGGTGGAAGGTTACTCCCAGGAGCGAGTGGCTGATGACCTTGAGGTCAGAGTAGAGAGGAAGGCCAATGAAGGGTTCGCGCTTACTTGGAATAAGGTTTGGTAAGTTTATATTGTAGTTTGTGAGTAAATTATTCTCTGACTAACCCCCGGTTTCAATTTAATATATCAATGTTAAAATCAATTTAATCTCTTGTCAAGTCATCTGATTGGTTGACTGAATTATCAACAACCAATTAGATGACTTGACAAGAGATTTAACAGGAGATTAGTTAATTTTAGCGTTGACAAGCCTTTCAGAAACCGGGTGTAAGACTTTGAATTGATTCAGAAAGTTAATAGTTACTTCTAATAAAAAATAAAGGAAAAGTAATGGTGATTGATGATGCGGTGTTAGAGGTTAAGGCACCCGCTTCTTATGCAAGAAGGTGCAAGTACCAATGTGACTATTTCCAAGTTACATGTACTTTCTATGATTATTTAGATACCACTGACATACGGTAAAGGAAAACATCGTGAGGAAACCTATTTAAAATCTCTAATTATAAGTTTGAAATCGCCAATCCGCCTTGAGCAAGCGTGGTGATTAATGCTCAGACCTTCTCTGTATGACAAGAGGGCTTTGCTCAGCAGTGGGCATTTATAGGTTGATGATGTGTGCTGTGAAAGGTGACCACTAAGCGATTTTAAGAATAATGTGGTATATTAAAGACTATGTAAAAATGCATGTATTTGAGAACCCTACTGCTTTTTAGAACATTTGAGGATAATAAAAATAAGTAGGTCGATATTTACCTAACCAATTTTTTATTAGGTTAGTAACAGTGGATTCAGTCCGCGTAGTCTTTCCCTACAAGCATCGGTTCGCGGAAGCTGTGCAAGGAGACTTCGTGTCTCTCTTCAAGTGGATCAAGCTGGTGCATGGCATCAAGAAGAAACCGTTCACTGTTGACAGCCCTCTGCCTAGTGATCTACATATAAAGGTAAGATTTTCTAATATAATTTGACTTCAGTAAGTTTCAATATAATATTAGACGTGTACTAAATATTTGAACAATGCAATTTTAAACCTATGGTTATGGATTATAAGTCATATTTTCGTTTACCCCATAACAGTCGAACTATTTTTATTTTGATTGTAAAAATATTGGTTATTGTCTAGATTGAAGAGCTTCTGATAGAGATGAGCGATGATCCGTTCGAAGTGAAGCTGCGCGACAACTACGAGCTGCTCGAAGACGAGTATAAGGAGAGTCAGAAGCGACGTACCATGCTCGATGCCAAGGTAGGTGAAAGATTACTTCTATTGAAGGTAAAAATATCACCTTGAACGTAAAACAGAAGCAGGTTTACATGGCAAGATCACAAAAATCATAATTGGCTTTAGGGCTTTTTTTTTTGTGAGGTTAAAATCGTCGAATGACTTCTTCCGCCCAGGGCCGGGCAGGAGGGAGTGTCAGACTCTTACTGACTAAAAACCCCCCTGTTCCTTCTCCTGCTCTGGGCCGAGGTCGCGGTGCCTCATTGCGCTTACCCCGCAACCCCGGCTGAGCTTTAGGGCTGATTTTTCAATGGTTAGATAAATAATATCTGGGGAATAATTATGATGCTGTCGCATCAGAATGTTTGTATAAGACAGTGACAACAACAATTTTATTCCTTAGATAACATTTATCTGACTATTGAAAAATCAACCGTTGTTTTGAAAAAAGATAAGATTTAATAATCCTTTAACTTGCAAAGGCTAAGAATTGAACTGAATATAAATAAGGTGCTTCGATGCTACAAGCGCATATGTATACTTAAGATATGCATGATAAGCATATGTATATTAAGATTTTAAACATGTTACTTAGGTACAAGAACTATGCAAGCCCCATCTCTTCCTACCAGCGGGGAAAGTAGAAGAACTATACGCAGCCCTGCGCCAAAAAGACGCACAGATATACGTGCAGCGGTGTCGCGCCGCCCCCCCGCCCCGCACCCGCCTCGTCGCGTGTTGTCTCTCGAGATTCTCGCTAGTCGCCTTAGCAGACCCCACTATACATGGAACGCAAAATGCGCAAGCAAGGCTCCGGGAGATCGACCATGACAGGTTAGTTACAGCTTGGTATTCATTCACGTTTACGCATACGTCGGGCGTCTCGTGGCGCGTCCTGCATTCGTGGTACATTGCAGCAGTAAACCTCGCCTTTTCCCGGGCAAAGATAAACATATGAACATTAATGCTTTGCTGCATGCTTTAAGCAAAACTGTATATTCTAGATTATGTGTTCTTCAATAAATTTTATTTATTTATTATTTATTATTCTTTTTATTCAGCATATAAACATATAAATTACATTTTTAAATATTTCTTAAAAATAATAATAAAAAACATTTAAAAATATATTATTTATTATATTATTAAGAGTGCGCATTATCCGCGCCGCGCATTACGCTGCATCTTCGTAAATAAGGCCTTACACTTTAAATAACTAAGATTTTATAATTTACGGTACTGTTTGACGCCGGTTTTCAGTAAGGCTTAGCAGGCAGTTTCGTTCAGAAGCATGAACTTTCTTCTTTATTGTTTTTTAAAAGTGTTTAAAAATCAATAAAGGCTATAATTGAATAAAAATGTTAGTAAAACAAAACAATAACACAAGTTTATGTCCACAGTCCATGGCCAGAAGACGGCATCGAGTTCACGACGCTCTGGTGCCGCAGTATCAACATGAGTTGCTCTCAGTGGCAACTACTACTAAGGGATTTCCCTCAGCCACTGCTGAGTATGAGCGAGCTGAAGATGTGGGGTACCTTACTGGCGGCAGAGGAACAGGCTCCACCACGAGGTAAGAGTCAAAATTATAAATGTGATCTGCGCAAAATTGCGCAAAATTAGAGACCTGCGTAAAATTGCGCAAACTTATTTTTCGTTTGGGTTTCTTTCTTTTGTAGAGGGAATATCATCTAATGACCTCTCTGGCCTTAGGTGGGCGGAGAGTGAGTAACAGACTCGTACTGACTAAAAACCTGTTCTGCCTCTAGGCCGGTAGTACATTATTACGCTTGATCAGTCATGTGTGGTGGTATAGACTAGAATTAGGAGGGAAAGGATTTGTAAAGAAAGCTACGTAATCTTTACTTGAATATTAAAATAGGTAATTGCTAAGATTCCATTTAATAGGTAGTTGCTAAGATTCCATTTATTATTTGATTCATTTTACTTATCTGGGTGGAACAGTAACATACACAAGTAAAATTCATTTTTATTTACTTTACAATTATTTTCTACAATGGGCTTTAGCAGACCTATATATCTAAACATGTGCCAACCGCTTCGGAGTGATTCCATATCTATAATATGTTTCTCGATTTTCTTGGTAATCCGAATTTTGATCGGTAATCGCTATAAAGAGTAAGTTATTGGATAAGACTTGACTATAATAAAGTAACTATGCTATGACAATACAAAAGACAATTATTTCCTAGGTTATCTTTGCGTTTTTCCTTGATGTTGCATGATATTTCAGATTCCATGTCGGTTCACTTGTCTTGCTCAATTTTTCTAATAGCGTAAATTATGGTGAGGCATCATTAAAGGATTTGTGTTATTTATCGGCGCGTAGTATCTGTGGAAAAAATAAGAATTAAAAAAATCACCAAAGAAATGGAATTTATAAGGCAGACCTTTAAGAATAAAATAGTTGTTACTACAAGAAGAATACTTTTGAATGTTTAAGGGTCTGTTTTACTAGCCCGTATAAGTACGTCTTATATTCAAATTTATCTCGTATAATTTATTTTGTCAAGCAGGCCTCAAGGTTTTGAAAGAAATAGTATTTTTGGTAGAATCGGCTGATAAACTTAAAATTTTGTTTTGTAAGAACCTTCTTCCGACCTCAGAACATAACAAAATCAGCATAAAGAGACAAACAGCAGACAATCGGAGTGGGTCTAACCGTTCATGCGCGATCCGTATGCCAAGGAAAATTGGGATTTATTTCTATACAAATATAAGATGATATAGTTCAAATCCTATTAAAAAAAAACTAAATCAAGTAGCACTATGCTTTCATATGTAAGTTAGGTATTAAAATATGTAAAAGCTTTTTACCTGTCATGACTATTACGACTGTCATAATGTTGGTAGCCTGAATGTCTGTAGAAGCTGCGAGGCTGGAACAGAGGGGAGGGACCCTCGTCCTGATCCTCATGGACTGGCTTATGGTCCATATCCTTTAGCAGCCATCCCAATCTGTGGTTAGCCTGCAAATTTGGCTTCAGTTTTCAATATTGCCTTTAAATATTAACAATCATAAAGATGAAAATGTTTTGGTAAGCGCATTACTCGATAAAACGTGTTCCAATATTAATATTACTATTAGCTTGCTTATCTTAATATTAAACAGACATAATATCTAGTGTCGTGGTGGCCCGGAGGTTAAGCGGCCGCTTCTCATGCATGAGGGTGTGGGTTCGAAACCTGGCAAGTACCAATGTGACTTTTTCCGAGTTATATGTACTTTCTATGATTATTTAGACACCACTGACAGACGGTAAAGGTAAACATCGTGAGGAAACCTGGACTTATAATTTATAATTATAAGTTTGAAAACGCCAACCCGCATTGAGCAAGCGTGGTGATAAATGCTCTAGCCTTCTCCGTGTGAGAAGAGGCCTTTGCTCAGCAGTGGGCGCTTATAGGCTGATGATGATGAGACATAATGTCTCCTCTACATGTATTAATTTTACAAGTAAAGGTGATAATCGTGAAAAAGCAACGGGAAAAATAGTTTAATACCTGTATGAAGCAGGGGTGGGCCGCCGCAATAATATTAGGTACTTAAAAACCAAACATAAATTATTTGCCTTTTTTGTGAGGAGAAAAATCATCAAATGACTTCCTTCCGCCCAGGGTAGGGCGGGAGGGCCGACAGACAGAGGCGACTCTTACTGACTAAAAACCCCCCGTTCCTTCTCCTGCTCTGGACCAAGGTCGAGGTGCCTCATTGCGCTTACCCCGCAACCCTGGCTGAACATCAGCCCTATATGGCCCTGCATTAGATTTCTGCATTAGATCTTACAAACCTTTTAATATTAACAAAACTTACATAGGGGTTGTGTGGTGGCTTGTGGCCATGCTGGTTATGCTTTTGTCCATACTGATTATGTGCTTGCCCATGTTGATTATGCGATAATCCGTACTGATAATGTCCTTGCCCATATTGATTATATAATGGTCTGTGTCGGTTATGCATTTGCCCACGTTGATTATGTATTGGTCCATGTTGGTTCTGCATCAATCCATGCTGATTATACAATGGTCTGTATTGATTAAACAGTTGGCCATGATGATTATGCATTACTTCATGTTGGTTGTGCACTTTGTTGTCTTCGTGTGAACTATGCTTGTTATGGCAAGAACAGAGGCCGGAGACAGCTACAGTCATTAATAATAGAGATGACACCTGCAAGGGTAAAATGAAAAATTATGACGATTTGAATGATATTTTAAATATTGGCGTACATATTATGTCTCAAATTGCACGCCACTGAACTCGATGTTCAGCTCATCTCATCCAACCATTGCCAGCCACCCTGAGTATATCGTGAGTTCACCTAGCTGAAAAGCGCCCTACACTATGTTTGCCTAGACGTGGTCTCTAGAACACAACGATAATAAATATCGCAGTACAATTTTGATAGCTGTTTGGGATAGTGATTTCATTTCTGTGTGGGTAGCAGTTCTAACATTATGACCTTAACCTATCATCCTGGTAGCAAATCGGTTCACTAGATAAAGTACTACTAAAATACTATGGCTTCACTCTTCAACCAATAGTCTGAAGGATTATCTAAGCCATTAAATCAAACGGCTGCCTATTGTAGCCTGAAGATTGCGCCATATAGAAAGATTTTTTGGACTTAAAAGTTTTTGGTTTAACTGTGTGTTTTGGGATTATCTAAAGACATAACAGTGATATGGTGTATCCTAAGAGAACGTACTGTTTTCGATAGCGCTTTTTTATTTCTCATAGTTGTAACATTTACACTCATACTAGAGCTACAGCCAACGGTTTTTCTTTTATATCCATACTCTTTTGTATGTAGAGTCCACGCTTGTAAACTGGAATAGCTAACAGGAAACGCAATTTCAATAAAAACATGTGAACGAATATAAATCTGAAACAAACCGTCACTGCATTGAAATAAGGATTAAAATTATCACTATGTGTTAAAGGAATAACAAACCTATTTGTAATAGGATGGACGTGACTTGTGTGGTGGGTATTTGGAGCTGTAGGTTCAAGGTGAACGACCGCGTAATGGCCCTTTAAAAAAAGGATCACGGCAACGCGTTTCTCTTTGGGAATTATGATAAGTACTTTGTTGTATAATTGTTTAAAAAGATAATGAATCAATTGATTACCAGAGAAGGGCCTTCTTGATTGGATTATAATTGGCATAGTAAATCTATTGTCAATTAATTTGAAAATATTGTGCTGATCGTCAACCTCTTAAGAACTTAAAAGCATTGAGAAAACTTTATAACTTTATAAATTATAACACTCAAAGATATTCAATAACTTTTCCTCATAAACTTACACAAATATTCTCCCAATTTTCACTCAAAGAAGGTTCTATCTAAATGTTTGATTAACGACTGAATAGTCAGATAAATGTTATCTTGAGGAATAAAATTGTTGCTGTCACTGTCTTATACAAACATTCTGACGTGACAGCATTAAAATTATTCCCTAAATAACATTTATTTAACCATTGAAAAAACTGCCCTTTAAGTTATAAAATATTAATAATAAATAAAAATATAATAAAATGATATAGTTTACCTTCAGAATCATGTTGCGAATGTTGTTAAGACCGGTAACTCACTAAAACTGATATGTTATTACATACATATGTCCATCTTATACATACATATGTGCTCTGTGCAGTGAAAATACAGCCGAGGTTATATTTGATTGCACTATATGATATATTGATCTATTAAATATTACAGCTTGACTTATAGCTGATTAATTATGAATAAATAGATGGACTGTATTTTTATTATTAAGATATATTTTATTTTTAGTTATTTTAACCTTTGTTGTTTTTCTGTTTGGTTTCAATTTGAAAAGTATTATCGAGCACATGGCCCTAAGGATCGGTTAATATCGAGACGACGTTCAGATCGAACGTTGCCGCGTTCAGCCTTCTGATTGGTTGATTAACTTTGAACAGGCCAATCAGAGCGCTGAACGACACCAACTTGTCTTCCTGCCTTCAATGTAAAGCAAACTCGAACTAGGAAGTCTGTGCGCACGCTTTAAAAGAGCGACTAAAAATCAACTTTATTTTCTACAAAATAAGATAAATATTTCATGCTCTACGTGTAATAGGCACTGACGTATCACAGTACTATTTAATATCTAAAATTTCTCAGTCTGTGTTGCCGGTGCAAGTTCAGCAATATAGCAGCCCCGACCTATAACAGCAGAAGAAAGTTAGTTTAGTCAGTTTGAGTCTGACACTTCCTCCCGCCCAGTGGAAGAAGTCATTTGATAATTTTCCCCCTCAAAAATAAGTATCTAGAATATTGATAAGTGTAATCAACCCTACTATTTTATTATTTGTAATTATGCATTAAATAACTTATGAAGCTAAAAGTTTTGAGCTGTACACATGTCAAGGACGTCAAGCTTAGTGATCATTTAATAAATATATTAAATAATAATAATAAAAACATATTATTATGAGTAAGCAAAGGATGTATCTATTCTGAATATGATTTCTGACAGCTACGTTAATTGGCTTTAATATTATATTATTAAAACTATCTAAAGATTCAATACTCTATTGGACAGTTTCCTTGCTTTGAAAGTGGTGGTTGGTGCCGTGAAAATATTTCATCCAAAAATATTCATTACTGCCACGCCGAACGAAAATCCGTTACACTTCTTATATTGACTTGACTGCACGGTTGGTGCGGTGGCTGGGCAACAGGCTGCCGTGCAAATGTCAAAAACGATACTTTTCTATGAAATTGTATGAAACCTTGAGTTATGACGTCATATTATTTTTGCGTCAAATAGCTTACTTATTTTTTTTAGTATAAGTTTAGTGTATCGATCGATCGATGAATAAAAGTATAGTTATTTTTCAATATTTTATTGTATTCAAACGTCGAATTAATTTATTTTTGACCTAGGAAACTATACAATTATATAATAATAGGAATTGTAAAATAATACTTTGTGTTTAAAAACATATTTAAGGTAGATTTTACAATATGTCTAACATAATTATAACCTGTAACTTCTTCCACAGCGGTCCGTACAGTAACGATAGACCAGGGTGCGCCGTGGGGCGAGCAGGAATTGGAACGGAGTATGATGCCGCTCAAGTGGTACTACGATCTCTGCTGCGAAATGGCAGAGTACAGCTACGCTTTCGGGCCATGCTGGGAGCCTGTCATCGCTCATTGCAACTTGTGTTTGTATTTTTTTTTTATTTCTAGCTTCCGTATGTTGGTATCGCTTATTTACATACCAAATATCAACCAGGTCCAGCCGTTTTTGTGATCAAGAATAACAAACATACATCCGGATATTCTCACAAATTTTCACATTTCAAAATACTAAAAAGGATGTGTAGTAAAGTGTAAGCTATAGATCTTATGATGACTATTCTATTATCAATATTTGATGTATTTAATCAATTATATTTTTTGTAGTTATGGAATAGCAGGTCGGCACACGAGCAGACGGATTACCTGATGGTAAGCAATCAGCGCCGCCCATGGACACCCGCAACGGAGGAGTTACGAGTGCGTTGCCGACCTTTTAGGGATTAGGGATTGGATGTTAAGGGATTGGGGGTGGGGAAAGATCTGGCCTCCGGTAACCTCACTCATGGCGAAACACAACGCTGTGGTTGTTTCACGCCGGATGATACTTGAGTTTTTATAATTTTATAATATTTCCAGCCTTCGACCAAGTATCCCGTCCGTCTCTGGATCCCTCCGCGCCTCTCTCGTGGTGGGACAAAGTACGTCTGCTGATGCACGGGCGACTCACAGTCAACTGCGCCAAGTTCACCTGTCTACTCCACGTGTCGTTAGATCCCTATAACACGACTGAAGAAATGGAGGTCACTTGGACTGACCTGGTGCTGGATTGGACTAATGGTAAGTTCGTTAACTTGGTTTTAGAAATCTCATTAATAATTTAGACATTTTCTACCAATGAAGCCTTCGGTGATGCAGAGATCTTTGAACACTCAAAACGTTGTTAATAATTAATCACAGGTAGCTTATTGAATGGCTGGGAGATTAACTGCTACGCAATGTGTCAATAAAAGTTTTTATTGTTAAAAAGTTAACTAGGACGTTTATTATTGCACAAGGACATGAAAGTATACTCTGTTTCCCTTGAAAACTATAAAAGCCCTATCGCTATCGCATTTTTTTCGTATTAGCTTCCAAGCAATATTTAAAAAAAAATTGCCTTTACTTGTGTTTACTCCTGTGCCGTGGGTGCGTTTACAAACATACAATTTCACATACATACACTCCACACCCACACCCAGGGACAAAATTTGGAAATCACACAAAGAGTTGTTCCGTGGTTTCGTACGGAACTCGATGTCTGACACGTTGCGCGGCCACAAGCGCCTAGCTACAGCGCCAACCGTGCAGTCCAGTGCAATTAATGTTAATATCATCTTCAAAATCTCCCCTCTCTCCCCCCAGGTAGACTCGGTTTCCTGGGCACGTTAGACGTGTACGTCCGCACAGCGAGTAAGTACGACGACTGCCGCGTGCTCCGCGTCCCAGCGCTGCGCCTGTCTGTCAAGATGGGCTGGCAGTGCGTCGCCGATCCTAGGGACCACCATGCCGTGGCTCCTTGTGCACCTACAAGGCTGCCCGAGTACTCTAGCAATCAGGTAAGAGGAGTTTGATTGTGTTAAGTTAATGACATAGAGAACTAAATGATGTATATGTCGTGGTGGCCCGAAGGTTAAGGAGCCCGCTTCTCATGCATTAGGACACCCTCACCCGAGTTCGAAACTTGGCAAGTACCAATGTGACTTTTCCAGAACTATGTACTTTCTATGATTATTTAGACACCACTGACATACGGTGAAGGTAAACATCGTGAGGGAACCTGGACTTATAATTTCTAATTATAAGTTTGAAATCGCCAACCCGCATTGAGCAAGCGTGGTGATTTATGCTCTAACCTTCTCCGTATGAGAAGAGCCCTTTGCTCAGCAGTGGGCATTTATAGGCTGATGATGATAGAAAAGAGGTTCTTATTCTTTCAAGTTGTTATAATGTGTAAATAAAGGTGTTCTGTGCATGATAGTGTTACACTTGATAGTTCCCTAAACGGTGTATTAAAGCGGCAAAGACTTTAAACTACGTTACGCAGTGATTACTGGTAACTTAATTATTTTCAACCTTGTCACTGGCATTTAAAGTTGAATATTCATCAACCGTCATCTCGTTAATAAAATGGTGTCTTTGACAGGAACACGACTCTTACCGAGCGTTCAGGTCTCAAGGGCTAGATCTCCACCTCAGCATGGAAACCAAGCCGGTGGACAAAGAGGGAAACGGTCCCGTACTACTCCTGTATGGAAGCACACTCAGGTAATTTGCTATGAATGGAAAATTAGCTGTCGCTCGTTTAGCATTTAGGGGTGTGAAAGAAGTTATCGGACGCCCAATCCTTCCTCCCCTATCCCAATCCCTAAATCTTTGACACCCCCAAAAGGCCGACACAACACACTCGCCACTTCTCTTTTTTTCTTGCCATCAGGTAATCCGTTTACTCGTTTTTGGCCAATCCATGCCATAAAAAAACTCTATCCAAGTGTGATTTCTAGGCTTCTGTTGATTTTTATTGAAATTGCAACAATGTTGAGTAGCCGTAATTTTTAAACCTTATTTCCCTTCTCCAAAAATATTAACTATAGTAAAAACAACGATCTATAATTATTCATATGTATTTATATTAAAAGGTGGTTCGAGAGTCTAAAACTGATACTATCCGGCATCACGCGACCAACTCGTCGCGGGCGCATCTTCAAGAACGTGCGCCCGCGCAAGCCTCAGCTGTCGCGACACTACAGAAATGTTAGCGTGTCTGTCACCTTACATAACTTACAGGTAAGTACGGCTTAATAACTTCTGGTCGACTTTGAATATGATATAGATATTAATACGATAGAATATATAAAAATAATAGTTTGTGTTGTGATGTGTGAGAAAACCATGCTTCAGCACGAATGGGCTGGCTCGACACGAGTACCATACCATTGCTCCACAGAATACCGGCTTGAAACTATTTCATCGTTTTGTTTCGTAGTGACGGTGAGCTTACTGGAGGCCCCAACCCCAATATAATTTCTCCAACCCCTAAAAGGGACGGACTTGCAACTTCTCTGATGCAAGGACTTCTGACGAGTGTAGGCGGCGTCAATCGCTTACTATCTGGCTGAACTGCTCGGTTGGCGTGGTGGCTGGGCTCGACTACATCGCAACGTGCCGCGGCTTAGATTCTGGCACCGAACAACTCTTTTTGTGATCATAAAATGGTTGTATGTGTATAAGAAATTTGTAAACGCATCCAAGAAAGCTTACTTTTTACCCGACTGCCAAAGAAGGAGGGTAATGTTTTTCGAGTGTATGTAAGTATGTATGTATGTCTTTTCCTTTGTGACCTCCTGTAGCCTAAACGGCTTGATGGATTTTGATGTATGAGGTATCGTTAGATTTGTCTTGATTACGGGAGTGTCATAGGATACATTTTATCCTAAAAGTCCCACGGGATAAAGACATAATAATATTTTTTCTAAATTTCCCTTTAAAAAAATATGTATGCGGTATCATTAGATTCATTTCAATCACGGGAGTAACGTTAAATAAAAACAGCTAAAAAGTTATAAATAAAAAAATTATTATTAAAAAAACAAAATACCCGACTGCACACTAAAAAGAGAGTAAAACAAGCCCCACAATACAAATTTACTGAATATAATTTATAAATGTTGATGGAAAGCATCGCAGGCGGGGACCACCTTGACCGCCACCAACGAAAATTCTGCTAAATGGTGCACAACAGAAATGACTATAAATAAGCCTCTGTTGGTCCCCGCCTGCGATGCTTTCCATCAACATTTATAAATTATATTCAGTAAATTTGTATTGTGGGGCTTGTTTTACTCTCTTTTTAGTGTGCAGTCGGGTATTTTGTTTTTTTAATAATAATTTTTTTATTTATTTAAAATGTCTCTGGGTTACCTACTTTAATGTCAGTCTGTGTTAACTAATAAACGTGACTCAATAACATGGCAAAAAAAATTGTCTACATTTCATTGCAATAAAAACTGAAACATTTATTACAAAAATCTAATTGAACAACTGTTCCTTCAGGTGTTCTACTGGTCATCATCTTCCCTCCAGCGTGGTATTGAGATGTTAGGAGTCCGAGTGACCTGTGGTTCCAAACACCGACTGTCCCTCGTGGCCACCAATGACGGCCTCGTCCGGAGGCCCAGGGCCAACTGGACAACAGTGTACATGAACTGTGATCTTAATGACGCTGAGATCTGGTTGAAGACCTTAGCTGCTGATGAAAAGGATGGTGAAGAGGTTTGTCTGTGTTTATTAAAAATTTTGCTAACTTGTGTGCATTATAATTAAATTGTTATCGAAGTAATTGACGGGTAAAAGCTTCAAAGTCTGGATATTATGGGAATAAGGGGATAAAATTTGCTTTTTTCTTTACGGACGTCCTTTATAACATTGTTTGAAGGTATTTTATGTACACTCAGTGACAGTGTTTATGATGCTAGTAATATAACTCTGCTACTTTGTCAAGGTTGCTACAACCATGTGTAGATGAAGTTTAAGTTACGAACTAAGAAATTTAAGTTTTGTAATTATTTTGTATGAGTTTCTTATTAATATTCCTATCAAAAATACGATCTCCAACATCGTTGCTGTAATGAATCGTGATAAATTAAGGTTTGTAAATAAGTAGTTTCGAGTGATGGAAACGTGACGAAGCGATGACGTCACAAAGGATACCAGTAGGTATCCAGCTTGGGGATAAGTAGGACTCTTAATCTTTATTTAAAGTATTACAACACTTGTGACCTAATGTATGTGCCTCCCCCAGTACTCGGGGCTAACTCCCCGCGTGCTAGAGAAGTGCTACTGCCTGTCGGTGCGGCGCGTGTCGTACGGCCGCGAGGCCGGCGCATGCGCAGGCGCGCCGCCCACCCACCGCCTCGCTGTACACGACCTGCGCGGGGCATGGACCAAGCTCAACCGGGACCTCGCCTTCGCACTCATTGATACTTACATTAAGACTCAGGTATGTTCAAAATTTGTACATCTATACTAATATTATTAAGAATGTAGAGAGTAATGTTTGGAACCGCTGGTGGGATTGCCAAAATTCTTTCACTGATAGATAGCTACAATGTTCCTTAGTGCTATAGGCTATAAAACATCAGCGCTGATTGCTTACTATTAGGTAATCAGTCTGTTCGTTTGCCGACCTATCACATGCAAATGCCGTAAGAGCCAAGTAAGGAACTACGACGAGACTGGACGGGTTTTGCTTCAGTATAAATGGGATGGTTCGACCGGAGTGAAGTCGCGGCGTCACAGAATACAGGTCTGAAACAATCATAACATTGTATTTCGTCGTGTGAGTAAGGTTTCCAAGAGCCCAATCCTCCCCCTAATTCTCAAAACTGGACAACACATCCGCAACTCCTCCGATTTTGTGGATATCCATAACTCGCGCCGATTGCTTACCATCAGGTGTCTGCTTGTTTGCAGCACTAACCCATAAGAAAACTGCAATCTCCAACATATCGTAAAACGGGGTGAATAGAATTTGAGGGGTGTAAAGTAACTATTCACCCCTCTTCTGTGTCTATTCACCCCATTTTATCGTACTTGTGGAGATTATGGCAAAACCTCCTATATATAATAAATATTTCTCTTTCTCTTTTTCAGCAATTAAAGAAAAACTTATCAACGAAAGCTCTTAAAGAGGAGGAGCAACCTAACACGTCTCCCAAACACCAGCGGGAAGCTGACGTCATCTCTCCACCACCCCCAGTTAATACACAAGTAAGTTATTATTGGTTTATGAATGATAAGTGTGTTTGTTCATTTCCCTGCTATCTATATTGTTTTCCATGTCAAATGAATATTTAGATTTTCAGATGCAAAACAAGAAATATCAAAGCAGATTGATGCACACAGAGTAGCGTAAGGAAACGCACATACGCGTCGGGGGCACTGGATGCGTTAAAGGGCTAGAATAAAAAAAACTTTTTTAAATAAATAAAAACTATAGCGACTCACTTCAGCTTCGCACGCATGCAATACTGATACTGAATTTCTCCATTGTTTAATGGATGTTACTATACACATAAACCTTCCCTTTCATTCAATCTGTAAAAAACCGCATGAAAATTCGTTGCGCTGTTTTAAAGATACATAGGAACAGAGAAAGCGATTTTGTTTATACTATGTAGTGATTAAAACATGGTAGACAAGGGTGTACGCCCGTCTTAAAACTAATAGAAATGAATAGGTATGCTTGGTAATAATAATCTTGTGTTATTGTCCCAGTCAAGCGGTGTAGCGGCAGGGTGCGGTGGGGGCATGCTGGCGGCGCTGGTGGCGGAAGCCGGGGGCGCCGCGCCCGTCGTATTCAGCGACGAGCTCAGCGGTGCTGAGGCAGACGCACCACCACCCATCGCAACACACCTCCGACACGAACTCGATGACGATAATTCTCATACAGCCTGCCTAAGTATGTATCTTTTTTTTGGGGTAAAATTCTGTAAATGTGTTAGCCGAGAGCGAGAATCAGATACTTGCGGGCTTAAAACCACCCACATTTTTCTTCTTAGTTTATTTTCATAATAAAATTATCTTGACAAAAATATGTACATTATTATTTAGAACAAGTCTTAATTCATTTTGTCTCCAATGTAAAAAAAATACATTCATGTTTAAATGTGCCCCGTCTATTTTCGAGCAAACCGGAGCCCTTAATTATTGTACACAGAATATAATTTACAAAAGAAAAACATTTAGTATCAAATAGTATTGGATATCGTAACATAGCAGTATTGCACTTTTGTTGCAGTCGAGCTGGTGAACTCTCAAGTGGTGCTGAAGGGTTGCGAGACGCGCGGCTACGTGATCCTGTGCGCGGCGCGCGCCGAGGTCCGACAGCGAGTGCGCCGCGCCCCCGCCGCCGCCGCCTGGTCCGGCGCGCTCTCCGCCATGCAGTACTACGCCACCGTCAGCGCCGCCGACCGCGACACGCTGCTCGGTCAGTAGCGCCCTAACTGTATTATTGCCTTTACTGGTCGGGCGCGCTCTCCGCCATGCAGTACTACGCCACCGTCAGCGCCGCCGACCGCGACACGCTGCTCGGTCAGTAGCGCCCTAACTGTATTATTGCCTTTACTGGTCGGGCGCGCTCTCCGCCATGCAGTACTACGCCACCGTCAGCGCCGCCGACCGCGACACGCTGCTCGGTCAGTAGCGCCCTAACTGTATTATTGCCTTTACTGGTCGGGCGCGCTCTCCGCCATGCAGTACTACGCCACCGTCAGCGCCGCCGACCGCGACACGCTGCTCGGTCAGTAGCGCCCTAACTGTATTATTGCCTTTACTGGTCGGGCGCGCTCTCCGCCATGCAGTACTACGCCACCGTCAGCGCCGCCGACCGCGACACGCTGCTCGGTCAGTAGCGCCCTAACTGTATTATTGCCTTTACTGGTCGGGCGCGCTCTCCGCCATGCAGTACTACGCCACCGTCAGCGCCGCCGACCGCGACACGCTGCTCGGTCAGTAGCGCCCTAACTGTATTATTGCCTTACTGGTCGGGCGCGCTCTCCGCCATGCAGTACTACGCCACCGTCAGCGCCGCCGACCGCGACACGCTGCTCGGTCAGTAGCGCCCTAACTGTATTATTGCCTTTACTGGTCGGGCGCGCTCTCCGCCATGCAGTACTACGCCACCGTCAGCGCCGCCGACCGCGACACGCTGCTCGGTCAGTAGCGCCCTAACTGTATTATTGCCTTTACTGGTCGGGCGCGCTCTCCGCCATGCAGTACTACGCCACCGTCAGCGCCGCCGACCGCGACACGCTGCTCGGTCAGTAGCGCCCTAACTGTATTATTGCCTTTACTGGTCGGGCGCGCTCTCCGCCATGCAGTACTACGCCACCGTCAGCGCCGCCGACCGCGACACGCTGCTCGGTCAGTAGCGCCCTAACTGTATTATTGCCTTTACTGGTCGGGCGCGCTCTCCGCCATGCAGTACTACGCCACCGTCAGCGCCGCCGACCGCGACACGCTGCTCGGTCAGTAGCGCCCTAACTGTATTATTGCCTTTACTGGTCGGGCGCGCTCTCCGCCATGCAGTACTACGCCACCGTCAGCGCCGCCGACCGCGACACGCTGCTCGGTCAGTAGCGCCCTAACTGTATTATTGCCTTTACTGGTCGGGCGCGCTCTCCGCCATGCAGTACTACGCCACCGTCAGCGCCGCCGACCGCGACACGCTGCTCGGTCAGTAGCGCCCTAACTGTATTATTGCCTTTACTGGTCGGGCGCGCTCTCCGCCATGCAGTACTACGCCACCGTCAGCGCCGCCGACCGCGACACGCTGCTCGGTCAGTAGCGCCCTAACTGTATTATTGCCTTTACTGGTCGGGCGCGCTCTCCGCCATGCAGTACTACGCCACCGTCAGCGCCGCCGACCGCGACACGCTGCTCGGTCAGTAGCGCCCTAACTGTATTATTGCCTTTACTGGTCGGGCGCGCTCTCCGCCATGCAGTACTACGCCACCGTCAGCGCCGCCGACCGCGACACGCTGCTCGGTCAGTAGCGCCCTAACTGTATTATTGCCTTTACTGGTCGGGCGCGCTCTCCGCCATGCAGTACTACGCCACCGTCAGCGCCGCCGACCGCGACACGCTGCTCGGTCAGTAGCGCCCTAACTGTATTATTGCCTTTACTGGTCGGGCGTGCTCTCCGCCATGCAGTACACTACCTATTCTACCTACACTACCTAAACTTACTTCCCCACCGACCCTACCCACCCTACTCTACCTAAACTTCCTAATTTTCAATGTTACTATTAAAAATATGATCGGAATATAAGCCTTCCTCAATGATGTCTAGAACGGTAATTTGATTGAAACAATATTTACTCAAGTGATAAAGTATATTATTGTTATCCTTGCCGTTGTTTTGTATATAGAGACTTGAGAAATTGAACTGTTATGACGAAACACCAACCTTTCTTACTAAAAGACTATCATCATAGTATAACGAAATATAATAACTCTTACAGAGAACATCCAGTGGGTATCAGTGGAGGAGATAGAGGAACGATGGCAGAGTGCGGAGATCAGTACCCTTCCCGACGTCCCACGCCTTGTGGGCAGCGGACACTCCGCTGGAGGGGTCATCGGGAGGACAGTTGGGCCCAGTGCTGATACTGGACTTGCACAGGTAGAAACTCACTTGGCTAATAGATATATAGTCAAAATGTAGAGAAAGTCAAGTCTGCGGACAGGGAGCCAATATTTCGCCGTTCGACTAAATCGGACCTGAGCGTACGGCACGTAGCGTTCCGCGCGCGCCCCAAATAGCCAATATACCACTACAGATGGGGCCCCATAGGGCCGATGTTTAGCCTTGGTTGGGGGGCAAGCGCAATACTGTACCGTGGCCTTGGTCTAGAGTAGGAGATAGAACGGAGGGGTTTTTAGTCAGTAAAATTCTGTCAATTCCGCTTGCATCTCCGTAAGAGAGATCATTTGATGATTATGATTATAAAAAAAGCTAGATTTGTGAGCAAGTCAAGCTACCCCATCCTGTAACACTTATACTAGATTCCATGAATTGCTGGCTCTTTTATATTATTTTTTTATTTCTATCGTAAAAAATGCTAACCGATTTAAGTAAATTAACTATAAGTCAAAAGTCAAAGTAAAAACATTGATTCCGTGACTGCTACAACGTTCCTGGACTTAAGAATATGTATCTTCTTAATAAAAATCGAAATTTAAGAGGACACTCATTAAAACTATGCAGAACATCCTCAAAACTGAATCCCTTGACACACTTCCTACCTAATAGGGTGGTCACGGAATGGAATAAACTCCCAGAAACAGTGATAAAAGCACCCACAGTTAATTCTTTTAAAAACAGACTCGACAAAATCTCCAAATCCATTAATACGCACGCATCAGCTTTCTAAGCTGCTAGTGTGTTCAAGTATATAATAATAATAATATAACTATAGGAATACACGTATGTACTTTTAAAACTTTCAAAAGAACAATATTATAGTCCGTCAATCCGATCGTCAGTAAAGCAAGGTGCTCCTTCCAAAGTGAAGGTTCGAATGACGGAGAAAGAGCAAGAAAGTACATTGTTTTTTGGAAACTTTTTATACACCCATGGGTTGTCAAATGCAACTGTATTTATTTTGATTAGCCAATGCTAAGATGTCTCATAGTTTTGACTACATCTCAGTACTAAACAAGTGTAAAAAAGTGAATTAATCGACCAATAATAATTATATTCTTGATATTTCTAAACTTTGTATCAACCAACGCAATATAATATAATTATATAATTCTAATTGTCTTCACCAGCTCCAACGCATAGTGTCGCGGTGCGCATGTGAGTTCTACTACGTGTCGCACGAGGAAGCGGAGTCGGTGTCCGGGCAGGGCACGGGCTGGGCGCAACAACAACCTTACGACTCCTTCACACTCATGCATCACGACCTTAACGTCTGCACCAACTCACTGCAGGTACAGTTAATGAAAATGTCAGGATAAAAATATTGAAAACTAGCTTTTGCCCGTGACTTCGTATAATTATGATTTTACCCACATAGTTCCCGATGTCATTTTTGATAAGATCCTATGTGATTTCTCGAGTACCAAATTTCACACAAATTTGGTAAGTGGTATTGGTGTGAAGAAAGACAGACACAGTGACTTTCACATTTATAATATAAGTTTGGATTGTTTTAAACTTATTTAATTATTTTAAAAAATGTTTTCTATACTATCAGCAAAGGAGTACACGGAAAAGGTTTTGGGCATTAATCACTATGCTTGCTCAAGGCGGATAGCTAATTCCAAACTTATAATTATACTCGGAATTTTAATTCCATTCCAGATTTGACAATTTCAGTGTTGCAACGTTATGACACGTAATAAATAGTGACGTTGCGAAATTATTCGATATGGAAATCGAATATTTCTGAATCGATTCCTCTCGTTTATAAATTTACTCTCGTAAACTAAGTTTATCAAGAAATAAAATATTTCTGAACCGATAATTTAGTTTTGACAATTAATTAACGATCTGAGACTTTTCTTTTGTAATTGTGTGTGAAATTAATAAAAAATGTGATCATGAAGGAACGTGATAAAACAGACATTTAATAAATTGTCGCCGTCATCGCTATCGCTATCGCCGTTACTCTATGTAACAATTATTATGAATTGTGTCTTTGATATTTGTTGTCAATTAACATTTCTAGCTTACTCATTTTTTCCTCTTCTTTGAAAACATGGGATACACATTTAGACCATTAGGTAGCCGTAATTTTTTGAATGCCTTCCTGAAACTGATTCACTGATTGTTTATCGATTTTTGTGTTCATCACTACACTGTTATATGTGGTATCATTATTTCACAAAATGACAGTGGTCAATGTCAAATCAGGAATCGAATTAAAAGTCTGACTATAGAAATTATAAGTCCAGCTTTCCGTACGATCTTTTCTATTACTGTTTGTCAATGGTGTCCAAATAATCTTAGAAACTACATATAACTTGGCAAAACTCACTTTTACCTAACCCCTGTGAACCTCTCCACAACCTTTCTTTCCTGGGCACCACGACGGCAATTAAATATTTAAATCCATATATGTATAATTAAACATTTAGCCGAAAGAGAAACATAATACCTGAAACACAGGTTGAAATAAATCTAGTTCAGGTGAGTCCATCATTTTCATATCATCCGTATTAATACTGATGTTATAAAGAGGTATGTGTGTTTGAAGTTTGTAAGGGGGATTCTCAAAATTATTTTACTGATAGATAGCTACAATGTTCCTGAGTGTTATAAGCTATAAAACATTACGCTACGATCAAATGGAGCCGAGCAGCGTGTGAAACCACGCGAGAGTAGCTAGTAATAATTATAATAATCTAGATTAAGTTAACTGTTGCTTATACGTTTTATTAGACTTTTAAACTTATTATTACTAAAACAATCGAGCTAGTTGTTTAAAGTGAGGCCTTTGTTTTTTAATACATTTATTTATTATTATTTATAATACATAAAGTTTATTGTGTGTGTGTGTGTGTCAGTACGCGATGTTGCTGGACGTGGTGAACAACGTGGTGCTGCACGTGGAGCCGGAGCGGCGCCGCACGCTGGAGCGGCGCGCGCGCATGCGCTTCCAGCTGCAGCTGCACCAGGACCAGGACCCGCGGCAACTCATACACAAGCTGCAGACACAGGTACACCACCTACACATTATAAATAACCACTAATGCTCAATAAAAGCGGTTTCCAAATCGCCGAAGTGGTATAAAGAAGCTGAGATACGTCTGAAGCCAAAATGGCAGTTGCACTCTACCAATGCGAAAATGTTGAAAACTCCTTTGTAATACAGGTTCAAGAATTAAAAAACTTGTCATTAATTACTTGAGAATCTATGCTACAAAAATTCTGAAACTCGACTATATAAAAAATAATAGCATTAGTAAAGTGCAATTGCAGTTTTGACCCTCCCTATATCTTATTTCAACTTACAGACTTATGATATATTTTGAGAAAAAAAACTATTAAATTATTTACTACCTATTAGGCAATTTACTGCTAATTAGTATTATTATTTAATTGGGTTAGTTATAGTCACGTCGGCCGCCAATACTATTTTCAACGCCATCAGAAGAATATGAAAGAAGCTGCTGCGATCTTCCTTATTGATAAACTTTGGTCTGAAAAGCGGCAATATTTATTTGAACCGACGGTTATGGATATGATTTTTAACCTTAATAATGAACAAGAAGTCGTAAACGTATTGGCAAAAAAATGGCAAAATAAATATGCATATTAAAAAAAAAAAACATTAAAAATGAGAAAAAAAAATCTAAAAAAATAAAGAAAAATGTAGTAAATTATTTTTACTTCCAAATTAACAAAATACAAAAAGGATCTCTCCGGCGGGGAATCGAACCCCGGTCTCCCGCGTGACAGGCGGGGATACTGACCACTATACTACCGAAGATGTTGACTATAGTGTCGAAATAGTGAGCCTTATTGTGCGTAGGAAAGTGACTAATTCAATGTTGTCAGATTTCAACATAATTATTATCATGTATGAATACTACAAAAATGTATTAATTAATTGAATGGAATAATCAGTAAAGGTGTTTTTTAATTACGAATGTGTGTGTGAGTCATAGTTTTTATCAGAAGCTATTTGCCTTAATGAATTTTTATCATACAATTTCTTATACCTACTATTCTTAGAAACATAAAATTCTTGGTATGTTGTTATTTTTTGTTTATTAGACCTGACTTTTATGATTATGATTTTAAAGTTCATTATTACACAGTCTACTTTATCTATGTTCTAGATTTTTCTATTTGGGAAATGGCAATATTATCTGTAGTAGCCCATTTTTGTTGTCTAACCTCAGGCATTTGAGTCATTTATCAATGATTCCTCATATCCTGGATGAGGCGTGAGGGAGTCACCTTTGACCTGGGGCCGCAGTAACAAAGCGTAAAAAAGTAGTGAATACAGGCAAAAAAATATTTTCCTTTACATTTATATATTATTATCTTTTACATAATTATTTGTCAATAGGTGAGGGAGTCCCTAGCAAGACTACGAAGACTAGAGAAGGAGTATTACCTCAAGAACAGGTCAATGACAGGAAACGATCCTGCTGCTATGGATGAGCTGAAGAATTTGGATGATCAGGTCAGTTGCTTTTGTATCTGCAGCATTAATTTTAGTTCTTCCGGTAGGATACTCAGTGTTGCTTGAGCAGATATTGACTTTCATTTACAGTATGTGGAGAATTACTTTTTCTGCGGGTATATAAGACACAATAGAAAAAACATTGTCGGGCTCTTGCCCATCAGTTGTACGTTAGGTGTTTTACCCTGTTAATTAGCATGATGTAAAAAATTGTGACGCCGTATGTTGAATATTGTCAATCTTCAATGTGTGTCGCTTAATGACATTTAAATTTGAAACGGTTATTCTATTTTTGTTTGTTTTATTAACATGTATATCCTTTACAAGAACGCTTTGTTGAAATATTCTGTTCTCCTTGTGTTGTGCAGGTGAACGAGTGCAAGGAGCAGGTATGGTCTCTGGGCGAGGAGCTGGACGCGATGGTCCGCGCGTGGCGCGAGGCGGGGCGGGGCGCGCCGGGCGCGGCGCGGGCGGCGCACGCGGCCCCGCACCGCTACAACGAGATCTGCTTCAAGTCGGCGCGCTGGCGCCTCACCGACGCCGACGGACAGCTCGGCATCGCTGACCTACTGCTCACCAACTTCTTGTAAGCACAACCACACCACACAATACTACCTTTTTTTGTGAGAGGAAAGTCTTCCAATGAATTTTCTCGCCCTGGATGAGGCGAGAAGGAGTGTCAGACTCTTTCTGCCTAAAACCCTAGTACCTTATTATGCTCACCCCGCAACTTCGGCTGAACATCAGCCCTGTATTGCCCCGTCTGTGGTGGTCCATTAGCTCTTTGAGGAACGTATGCTCGGGTCTGGTTCTGGTCTAACGGCGTTAAACGGCGAGCTACCCTTACTCGCCATTCGCAGACCCGTGCTTACTGGCCGGAAATCATCGCTCGCTCTCAACGGTCGGAGTGTCGCCTACAGCGAATGTCTTCTTTTTGAGGGAACATGATGCTTTACAAACATTACCTAAAGACTATGTAACACATAGCACACAGGTAAGTTTAGTTGAAATCTGGTGAAGGGTAGATATTCCCGTCTTATATGCCAAATGTAGGCGTCACAACTGTCTTTTAATACGTTTTTTGTGTAGTGATGGCGTCTATAAGATTTATTTGATGATATCACTGACTACGAATGAACAAGACACAATAAACTTGATATTTTAATAAAAAAAAATTGACTAATTCCTTTTTTGTTATTTATAAATGTTGTTAGATTTAATGTAAATAAACAAATATAATCACTAGCTCACACAATGTTGATAGTTAGCCTAGCTATACTACTAGTTTTAATAGTAACAAAAAACCTTTAAAAATACTACTTAAAAGTTACAAACTACGATAATCTACAATATAGAAATAAAATGTATCAACATACCCTTCTTTTTACACCCAGGTATACAAAGACTTCTAGGTCGGATGACTCAGTGGAACATCAGCTGGAGGTGGGCTACGTCCGAGTTAAGAACCTGCTACCCAACGAGCCCTTCCCAGAAGTGAGATATATCTTATCTTATGCATACATTACTAAATCTTTAAATTGTTCTGAGTTTTATTGTGTAAGGTTATTAAAGAGTTTTTTTTTAAATAATCAAGTATGAGAGATTTTTAAAGATCAGAGGGGTTAAAATGTATTAGTCAAATAGTCAAAAATCATTTATTTCAATTAGACCCCTACAGACTCTTTAGAACGTCAAACAAAATTTTGAAGATATAGTATCAGTCTGTCGGTCAGTCCTCTTAGTGAAGCTATTTGCTCGTTCCAAGTGTACATTCCGATGAAGAAGAACGAGCAAGAAACTCCATGGGTACTCTTTTTCAATCAGTTTCACATACGTTATCGTTACGTTACGTTTCATAAAATATTATTCTTTCTTATACTTAACAATATTTAGTTTTGGACAAATTGTATAGTAAGGAATTGGAAATTTGATACACCAATGTGTTATTTCAGACTATAATCTATCCCTATGCCAAATTTCATTCAGAGAAAATAACAAACATAAATCCGTCGACACTTACAATACCGCCGACGTATCTTGGCGAGTCTGAAGTTAGCCGATTAGCTGCGCAGTACACAATTTTGTTCCTAAAAGACCCATTGCGCAGACAAACGGCTAACTTCAGACTCGCTAAGACACGGCGGCCGTACTGTACTAACTTTTGCGTCATATCTATTAATATTTGCGCATAATATACCTACCTATTATTATTTGTCCTAGGTACTGGTACCACAAGAGCCGTCAGGTCGGGCGCCACTAGCTCGCCGCGCGGCGTTGCGTGTCTTCTGCAGGGACAGACCTCCAGTCGGGGGCATCGCTGTCAAAGAACATTTCGAAGTTAATATTGTTCCTATTAAGATTGGTGAGTTATAAGAACATTTTATTTGACACTAATACCTACCCCGGCTTCGTATGAATGCAATGCTGATACTAAACTTTTTCACACTATTTAATTAATGTAATTATACATGTAAACCTTCCTCTTTAATCACTCTATCTGTTAAAAAACATATCAATATCCATTGCGTTGTTTTAAAGATTTAAGCGTACATAGAGATATAAGGTCAAAAAAACTACTCTTTATAATTTGTAGTGATAATATTATTATATCGGTTTGGAAGATCAAGTAGGTTCAATATGTGAATCTAACGGCGACTAAAATCGACCTTAATGCCAGGATAAAAATAAAAGGAAACGTTTTCAGTTAGTAGTTCAGTTAATCGTAGCAAATGGATGTATGTATCAGTAGTGTGGCGTCTGCCTGCGTTATTAGTAATATGCAGAGTGAAGGCGTAAATAAACATGAAAATTATAACATAGAAATAATAGAACTAGAAGTGTGGGAGAGCCATGCTTCGACACGAATGGACCGGAGTAAAACAACGGCTTCATAGAGAACCGGCGTGTAACAACCACAGCGTTGTGTTTCGCCGTGTGGCCGTCTAAGTGAGGTTACCGGGCCCAGTCCTTCCCCTCCCCCAATCCCTAAACCTCCAAATCCCTTATAACCAAAAGGTCGGCAACGCACTCGTAACTCCTCTGTTGTTGGTAATCCATATGCTCGTTAGCCGACCTATGACTAAAAAAAAGAAAGAAATAAATAAAATCACTTATTAAACAGAACATTAAAACAACATGAAACATGGAAGGAAACTACAAAAACAGTTGTAATTGTTACCTAAAGAAACAAGTCTTATTTTATTGAACCCTAACTAATTCGGTATGTCGTTGATAATTCTGTATCCGTAACACAACATGCTGCGCAGGAGTCGCTTCAATTGTATCACCTGGACAAATAGGACGGCGGTCGATGTAAGAAAACATATATACATATTGAATGCGGCGGTATTATTATAAAGTAGATACAGTACGAATGAAAACAGTCTTTGTAAAGTAAACACATGTGTTACTTTCATAATTTATTTTAATTTCTTAATCTATGTTACAAACTGACTACATTTTATCATTTCCGGTAGAGTAAAGACAGACACATTTTTCCTATTTAAAAATGAAACCTCTTTTTCTGTTAAGTATTCCCAATTTGTAAAAGTGAAGGTACGGGTTTTTTTAGTCAGTTAGTGTCTGACACTCCCTCTAGCTCCACCGAGGGAGAAGAAGTCATTTGATGATTTTCTCCCAACAAGAAACGGGTTGGAGAGTGTAATTTCGGCCATGTACATAGACCCAATTATTAAACTCTACTAGAGTTTGAGAAACAGTTGTGCTTATGAGTCTTCATGAGTCATGTATATATTACACTTTATCTCCTTTTATCATAAATGTTTACCAGATTTTCACCCTGTGCCAATATCACTTGTCCGAGAGCCGATTTGATCGAAAAATGCACTTAGCCTGCTTCACCAATGCACAAAAACGGCCGCAATGCGGGAGTTGTGGCGACGTATTGTAAAGCTTATCTGGTAATGTACCAAACCTGATATGGCGAACAATATACTACCATTCTGCCAAGATTACAACGAAGAAAAATTCTTATTTAACGCACATGTCCTTTCACCAGGTCTCACCAAGAAATTCTTCAACACGATGCTTAAATTCTGCTTTCCTGAGCGTGATCCTGATTCCATAGAGGACGGCGAAGAGGAAACAGAAGGCACCCTCAAATCGGGGGCTTCTTCATCCAGCCTTGTCTCTACTGGTTCTAAGAAGATCAAGAAGAAGAGCAAAGATTCTAATTCTAATTTCTATGTAAAGAGAGATAAGAAGGATAAAGATGATGTCGAGAAAATGAAGGTTTGTTTTCTATTTTGGTTATTTTAGTTCGTTTGAGTTGGCGCTAGTGTAGCTTTAGGGCCTGATAGGCTATTGACAAAAGGCATTCTCTTATTCAGTGATTTTTATTTAATAGCTTGTATTGTTAATACGATCCTTAAATCTCGAGTAGTTGTTGGTTACCGTTTGATAATGATTGGAGAATTTGAGTTAATTTTAAACAATATTTTATTTTCTACCAATATTCCAATCGTGTATATTACTTAATTATTATACATTATATGAGTTAGTTCTCAAACACAATTACCCTTATACAGGAACGAGCAGAAAAAAACAAGCTGTTCATCTACATTAAGATCCCAGAGGTACCAGTGAGGGTGTCCTACAAGGGAAGCAAGGAGAAGAACCTTGAAGATGTGAGGGATCTACCCCTAGTCCTCCCTACCCTGGAGTACCATAATGTGACGTGGACTTGGCTGGACTTGTTACTGGCCACTAAGAGTGATACCAGACGGTAAGTTTTTTTTCAATATTTCGTTGTTTTTGTGTTGCGTTAGAATTTTTGAACCATTTTTTGTATGTTGATTGTGACATGTTATTGCCACCCATCTTTATAAGTTTTTCTTATGTAACTTTATTTTGCAAAAATATTGTTTTGATTTATGGGTCGTAGCCGTAGTGTCTGACTTTAGTGTTACTCGTCATATTGATAGGCCATTTATGTAGCTTTAATTTATTTATTTTAATATAGTATCAGTTCTGAAAGCTTCATATCATCAGCAAAGAATGTAGAAGAAATTCAGCCTTTGACATTTATTACCCTATTCTTTCGAAAAGTTAATTTCTTATTTCTAAGTTGGCAATACATTCGTAACTCCTCAGTGTTGCCACATCTATACCATTACGTCATTAAAAAACTAATTCAGTCACGTCAAGATTCTTGTCAACACTATCTCCTTTATAATAAGACCGCATTTATTTCGCACGGAAACAGTACACCGACTTATGTCACTGGCCCTGCCATTGAGTTTTCAATCTTCAACACTTGAATGATTCTATTGTACATCCTAAAATAGACATTACGTTACAACACCAATATTATTTTAATGTCGATTGACGTCGTATCACGTCATCTAGGTGAATCATTTTGTGTTTTTGCCATTATAGTGCCGAAAGATTTGCTGTAAGTTTGTCAACATCTTAAATGACGTATCTGTTTTAGATGAATGCATTTTCTGATTCATTATGAGGTAAGTTGTTTCTTCTGTATTTTTGCCTAAGATTGTAAGTTGGTTTTGACCAGTAATACGCGTTCAAATTATCATCATATAATATGCTACTACTTTATCATCATCATCAGCCATATTCTTAGGCACATAGAAGTGCCAACTGCTGGTCAATCCCCTCTTTGACAATGATAATGTTTGAGTATTAATCTCCACGCTCGATCGATGATTTCAATCTTATAGTTACGATTTCCTTCGCCGTTTATGGTGTTCAAATAAATGTAGAAAGTACATTTCAGTCGGAAAAAGTCACATTAGTTCTTGCTCGGTTTCGAACCCGCAATCTCATACTTGAGAAACATTTGCCTTAACCAGCGGGGTACCACGACATATGATGTATTACTTAGTTATAATTCACGCACGCACACCTGGGTGGTAGAATAGGTATAATTTGTGGGTGGTAGGGTAAGAGAGTGTGTCATACTCTCATTGACTTAAACCATTTTGTACTTTCTCCTGTCCTGGTCCAACACTGCGATACTTTTTGGAGCTCATACTCTCAATCCCGGCTTGAGTTTACCTGAAATTCAACTAAGGGTTGCCTGTTTTTTCAACGCTATTCTTCCTTCCACACAGGGTGATATTGTCGCAAGCAATAAGACAGAAGCTGCAGCTGCACAGACGAGCTGCAGCAGCACCGGAGCCTCACGAGGAGGATAAGGCCAGGTTACTGCTGGGAGAGAGGACGGTGAGTTACTTGTGGTGTTAGCTTGGATAGGAAACATGATGATGTTATTAGGAGATTTTGGGACTGTTTCATAAATTCTTAATAACAACAGTGTACCTTCCAGATAAATTTGAATATTGAATGTGATTTTTATGGACTATGTGCCACATACATTTATTGGGAACTTAAATAAGGAATGGTGAAAAATTATATTCTATTTTAATTTAGTTCTATAGGGAAAAAATCAAGTTTATCATTTTACTACCTTTAATAAGTAAGTGACAATTTGGATTAATTAGTGGGGACATCTTAATAAAAAGCGATGGGGTATCTGAATGAGGTCGTTTGATATATAAGAACTCATTACAAATACAAGAAAAAAAAAAGAGGTTTGTTTAAACTTATCTTAATATATTTTTCTCTCCTAGGTGGCTGAAAGTAAACCGCAGAAGAAAAGCACTCCCAGCGTGTTCAAATTCTCCAAATCATAGCATAAGTGAACGCTATACATACAATATAGCGCGGCATTTATGTACGAACCAAACTTATTGACTGTCGCTTGAACACCTAAATGCAATTTACAAAAGATTTTAACAGTTGTTTTCTACTCATAGAAGTTATGAATGCCTCCAATTATATGGACAAATGGGCTGCGGTTTCCACCCCTTCCCCCCAACATGGAGCCATTGTGGCCTCTGGTTTTCATCCAGTAGGGAATTAGCTAGTGTTCCACCATTTGATGTTACATTTTTGACAGCTTCTGGGATTGGATAAACTAAACCACGAATAAGAGTCCCATTGTGTCTTGTAATTAGTAGAGGTTCTCTCAGTTGATTCTCGTAAATAAATCGAAGTATGTACACAAAAATTGCGTTTGGGTTTTCAAATGAATATTTTTAAACATTCTATACTGTTTTAAGAGGCTAATATTCTTATATATGTATACGGTGTATAAGTTTAATGGATGTCTGTGTCAATTTTATCTATGTAACGTGAACCAACTATTTTAACTTTTTAAATGATCTGATTTTGGAAAATATATCAGTATTCGATTGAGATGATATTAAACGTGATTAAAAAGTATTGATATTATAATGCGCATCATATTTTTATGTGCGCAAAAAGTTTGCGCAACCAACATTTAACATTTTTGCGCTTATTTCAAATGTGTATTGTATTTTAGACTTAATAACTGTTTTGCGCAAGCTAAATTCGTGCAGTCACTATACCTTTCTGTCGTTAAGTGACAACTTAAATTAATTAGACTGCGCCAAATGAAATCAATTCCAAGATCACACTGCAATGTCTCTTTTAAAAAACTCCTTTATTTAGTGATTATTTGAGATTTCGGTGAATTTTGACTTCAAATAATAAAATTAGCTCCCCCATTTAGCCTATAGGAGAAAAAGAGAAAGTAAACTTTGCCAAAAGTAAGACTGTAGTGTTCTTTACACACATTTTTAGGATTTGCAAATGTATTATTGACTTTGATTCTCTAAATATATGGTTTAGTTTCGTTTGTCGCAGACTATTTGAACAAATTTAATAGTAATTTCAGAATGAATTAGCACTTTTTATAGTATTGTAGTACTATGGCTAGCAGTAATGTAGCTAGGTTATTCAATTTTGGAAATTAAAACAAAAATGGAGTCTGAACTAGTAATATGAATGAACTAGAAGCGACTATGCTATAAGTAAACCTCAGTTTATTATATTCTTTTTAAATTAAATACATGATTGTATGCAACGAACCAACAAATATTGAAATACCACAGATTAAAAAGCGCTTTTTTTACTTAGAGTCTTATACATCGTGTTACTGTTATGTTTTAGTTTAAGAAAAAGTTAGCACCGTATATAAGTATTAAACGCTTTTATTTATTATAATTAAAATGTTAAACAACTGTTTAAGATGTAGGTAGGCAGAACTATAGGTTTAAATAAGTAAAGTGCGGCCGACGTATCTTGGCGAGTCTGAAGTTAGCCGATTAACTGCGCAGTACATAATTTTGTTCCTAAAAGATCCATTGCGCAGACAAATGGCTAACTTCAGACTCGTCAAGATACGTCGGCCGCACTGTATCTACCTATATATTGTTAACAAAATCTGATTTTTAGATTAATAGAATTCAAGGTCATAGTTTAAAAGGCTCAGGTTTTTAGAGCACTTATTCGCCCCTTCCTAGGACACCTAGGAAAATCAGGCAAAAAACACTTATTTACTTCGCTATCACCACATTGAAAACATACATAGCCGATAGCTTACCTCGACAAGTGCTATATCCAACTTAAAATATTTGTTTAATTCGAACCAGTATTTCCCGAGATCAGCGCGTTCAAATGAACGAACAAATAAACGCCCTAGCTTTATATTATTAGCATACACAAAAACAATTGACTTGTTAATTCAAGACCTCAATAAAAAGTACTTTTATAATTTATTCCAAATCATCTATTTCAAATGCGGAGTTTAGCTTTATTTATTTAATTACTCGGAAACCTGATTAGACACTTAATGAATGACCCACAATTTGCATAAGTGATTTCTCCGAAGATACGCTAACTGGGCGATCAACTAATTATAAATCATTAATTAATCATTCCATCATTATAACTCTGGTACAACTGAATGTAATCTAAAATTATTTTTTTATGCGATACGGCGGGAAAGTAACATAGAGTTAGCTCCAGAGGAATTAGAAGTGTATTGCCAGGCTTTTGGGGATAATTGGTTTTAGCCTTAGATACGGCCTTCGAAAATTTGACTCAAACGGCGTAACATAACGCTGTTGTTATTTTACGCTGATAAACTGTGAGGCCGTGCTATTACTCCGGTCGAGCCGACCCATTTGTGGCGAAGCATGGCTTTCTCAGAAGTATAATGAACGACCAGTATGTCAATATTTTAGTATTCAGACAAATCATTATTTTGTTTGTCATACGAAATTTACAGTAATATATTTCAAGGAGTTACGCATAAAATATTAGTGGGATGATTTTGACGTTGACTATGACAGCTTCAAAAAGAAAGTACTTCTTACATACCCCTTCTTCTTTTAAAAAAAGGCAGTAAGAGACTTGATCTCCTCTGGGGTTTCGGTGATCCGTCAATGGGCGGTGATCAGTGTGCTCGCTTGCCTTCGGATCCTATTAAAACGTTATTGAATACTGTACAGCTTGTATCAATCTATAGTTGTTGTCAACCACATCTTTAATAATAAATTATGAATGAAACATAAATTTTGAAAGATATTGAGCGTAAAAAGACATTTTCCTTTAATTAATATAGAATTGTCAAAATAATTATATTAAAATAAGCATGGTCTTCCTTTGATTGCTTTATATATTTTTTTAAATATGATTATAATAAGTAACGTTCCGTTGATTTCAAAATTTAAATAAAAATACACGGAGAAATAATGATTGGAAATGTATAACAGATCTCAATTCAAATCATTAAAGCGTTTTTGACATTAAATTTATTGAAGGTAGCGTGAATTAACTGAAGATAAACTTTTCTTCTGTCGACTGCAAGAGTAGGCTCCGCGTCGCTCATTCTGTTCATCTGTTTTAACCTAGTAGAGCTTTTCACAATTAATTCACGCGAGAATGTCGTTACTTTCAGATAGTACCTATAGTCAGAATTTTAATTCGATTCCTGATTTGACATGACCTACTGTCATTTTGTGAAGAATGATACCACATATAACAGAGTAGTGATGAACACAAAAATCGATAAACAATCAGTGTCAATCGTTAATTAATTGTCAAAACTAAATTATCGGTTCAGAAATATTTTACTTTCCTGATAAACTTAGTTATTTATAAACGAGAGGAATCGATTCAGAAATATTCGATTTCCATATCGAATAATTTCGCAACGTCACTATTTTGTACGTGTCATAACGTTGCAACACTGAAATTGTCAAATCTAGAATGGAATTAAAATTCAGAGTATAGTAGAGCTTTTCACAATTAATTTACGCAAGTATGTCATTACTTTCAGATAGTTTCTAACACAAAAATGACAGTATAACAATGTAACGAATGTCAAAAATGTACAGATCTCAATCCAAAGGGGTAATATATATTACCTTTCCTGTCGAAAGCTCCATATAGAGATTCCCCCTGGATTATATAGTACTTATGTACCTCAGATCAGTAAACAAATGTTTCTTTATACTGTATGTGTCATAAATATTTTGGATTGAGGTCTTTAATTAATTGATTTTGGATGTTAATGAAGTGTCCCTATATTCTAAATACCTCCAACTTTTGGTAGAATGTTTTTTTTTATTAACATGCAATTTAAATTATGTAAACTATTGTTATTTAGTTAAAATTGGTTGAAAGACATTTAAGAAAAGTGTAAAAATGTATTATTTAGTTGCGATGTTAAGGATTTATTTTATTGTATAATATGTTAAATCATGTAAGTTATGTGATTAAGTTTGGAAATCTCTGTCCAATACGAGAAGGTATTACTCGAGTGGAGTGATACCACGGCCCCAACAGGCGTGAAACAATACTTACGTTGTGAGTGAAGTAATCAAAGGTCCAATTCATGTCCTTCCCCCCCTGCCCAACCCATAAATTCCTAAAAAGGGGGCGGAGTGAAACTCTTATGGTGTTACTCAAAGGGTGTCATTGGGCCGTGTCGATTGCTTACCATCAGGTAATCCGTCTGTGCGCTGCTTGTTTGCAAGAAATATCAAGTATCGATAATGTACTAATCCCATTTTTGGTAATTAATATAAAATTTAAAATAAAATATTGTAATAATCCTTTCGGATTGGGCAGAGATTCTGTAAAATATTATTTAAAGTTTCTTGCTTTAAAACCGTATAAATGCTTTGAAATGTTAAATAATTTTTCTGATCAAACAATTATTTTGAATCTGTTATTATATCAAATATAATATATGTTGTAAGCACAAACGCTAGAAGTACTGCATTCGGTATTGTATATTTTTTGTTGTAAGCGTAAATTTTATATACTTCCAAATGTAAGTAGTAATATATATCAGCAATTAATAACAAACATACGAGTTTCGTATCATATAATGTATTTGTTAATAAATGTTGTAAATATGTACATTGGACATTTTTATTTATTCTTTACTCACTGATAAAATTACGTGAAGGTGTGGGTTCTTTTTTAGAAAACAGAAAGGAGTATTGTTGCCTCTAAACAATGTTTAATACTCGTAAAGGAAAAATTAGAGAAAATAGCAACATCTTCCATAGAATATTAATCATTATTCGTTCTATTTTGAATAGTCCGTGACCGAATTAGCTTTACATATAAACAAAAATACGTTCACGTATCCTAACGTTACACTCATATTACTGGGAAAATGCGGGAAACTCATCTCCGAGACTTATTTCCACGGCATTACCTCACCGCGGCCTTGTCGCCGCCATCCAGCGCCCGGCAGTATCTCGCCGACCGTCGCGCGGGACGCACGTTCCGCCCCACTCCGCGACAATCTCGAACATCGTAAAAAGTTACTCGAACGACATGAGGACAAATTATGTAAATTCATACAAATAGTGCGATCATTATTTTCAAATATTTCTGTGTTTGTTTGTGAAGATTTGTGTACTTTAATATGGCGTTAGCGTGGTGTGTATTTTTGTGCGTTTGCACCGGTGTGCTGGGGTTCAATGTGGACATACCCTCAAGGGTGGTTTATAAGGGTAATCCGAATTCTATGTTTGGATTTACGGTGCAGGCGCATGTTGACGGCGACCGGAAAATGTAAGTACCATTTTCTTTTAAAATATTAGTAGCGTAATAGTACACCATGTCTTTTATGGTTTTCGCGCGCGATTGTTCTTTCAGTCTGGCCGCTGATAAAGATAGAAATAAAAATGAGTTTATGGTGGTGATGGAGTGAAATATTTTCGTATTGGCGCCTGTTTGTATCGCGATATTAGTCACACATAGTGTTTACATAAAACTTGGCATTATATACGTGTTCTCTGATTGGCTGAGTGAGCAATGTTGCATCTGTATGAATGAAACGATTGTTTGGACAAGTGTTCGCCAAATTAAAAGTTTCATGATTGCTTTCGGTCCTAGCTTTAGGTTTTAATGTAGAGTGCTGATACTAGATGGGTTATTACAACCCAGGAGTCATTTAAGACTCTTGGGGATCCTGGAATTTATACAAATGCAAAGTTACTAGAATATAAAAATTGTTAGAATTAAAAAATCGACACACACATTTTGTTGCCAGACAACAATTTTATTATTATGTAAAGATAGAACACTTCAAGGACGTTAGCACCTGTGTGACCAGTTCACATTATTATTATTTCCTCAATTTTGTACAGATAATAAAATATACATTTCGGAAGGCCGTTTTACATATACACATCTTATACAAACCAAGGAGTTGTGTCTGTCGTTTTGTTTTGTGCGGACACGAAACATGGTCTAATGTAACGATTAACATGATCTAGGAAATTCTGGGTACTAGGTAATGTCTGTGTTCCTAGGTTAGGTTCTAGTTATAAAGTCGTGAGCTTAAACAACGTTGTTACAATTCCTTTACAAGACTCGTGTTCTTAGAGACGTAAATAATAATTTTGATCTTATTTGTATTTGTAACCTTTAAGCGTAGCCATGAATTTTTCCTTTAAATCATTCTTAGATATTTTCTGCTCAAGGCAGGATAGGCACAGAGAAAAGTTCACCTCCGTCTGAAGAGTGCAGTGCATCCTGAAAAATCGATTATCGATGGAAAACTGTAAAAGTTTCTATTAAAAATTTGTACAAATGACAAATATTTAACATAATCTTTGAGATACTTTAACCATTTGAGATTAGTTTTTTTTTCATTCAAATTAACACTGAAATCTTAACATTAATAAAAATAGTAGTTAATTTACGTTTATTTTTACCTTCACATTACTCAAAGCCTAGCTCGTATTCTCGTAAGTATAAAGGCTACAAGGTAAGCAGCTCAAGAGCGCTTATATTGCGCGATGACATCACTGCGTCGGTAGCCGAGACGTGGCTGCCGCAAATTTTAGCAAACGATTGCGTTTATTGGGCGTTCTTGATTGAAACTGCTCCAGTCTAAGTTCAAGTGACCAACTTAATTGAAGACTTGTCGAACAAAGATAATTAAATTGTTTCTTGAAATTGATATCTGACAGAAAGACTGCTATTGGATACCGCAGATTGATTTGCAGAGTTCAATGATCCGCTAAAAACAACTGCAAAATTGTGTGCTTAACTATACTATATATATATTTGTATAGATGTGCAGAATGTGACTGCGTGAAACGTGTCGCGGGTTCGATTCCCGCACGGAACAACTCTTTGTGTGATTTACAAATTGTTGTTCCGGGTCTGGGTGTGATGTGCATGTGGAATTGTATGTTTGTAAACGTGTAAAAAAAGAAAAAAATATTGTAAGTTTGTATGTAGGGGTAGGTAATCTTTGGAACCGCTCGCTGGTCGGATTGCCAAAATTCCTTCACTGATAGATAGCTACATAAAACCTCATGCTAAGATTTAAAGGAGCCGAGCAGTGGGTCAAACCGCGCGAGAGTAGCTAGTTTCAAATACGTACTGGCCAAATTTATGAGGTTTTAATGAAAAAAATAAATTATGGATATTTCTGCAGACTTGAGCCTAAAACTCTCATGAATAAACGTACGGTTTTTGGACGCAGTTACTACCGTCTAACAGCTTTCAAGGACATTTTAATTATGACTTCAAATTAACGTAGATACGGTAGTGTTTAAAATGTACAAATTTATTTTAGCATTTCGCACTATAAAAGACTATTCAAAACACTGGAATTACGGATCGCACTCCAGAGACGCCATTTTTTAAAGCTACCCCCCAAGATAAATGTCTACTACATTATTTTTCACAAAACTGGTTCACCTAATTAATTTTTGAGCAATTATAATAATGACTTACTCTGAGAAATGAGGCAACTAATTGCTTTATATTTATATAACGCAATTATTTAATACTTGGCACATTTAAAAAATAAATGGTTGTTCAATTAGGTGGGTAGGTTTAATTAATGGTGTTTCGAATAAGTGACTTGGTTTTAATTTTTTAATGTTGTTGTAATGCATTGCATGAATTGGATCAGTGATTACTTATTCTGAAAATGTATTTAAATTGATCTTAATTATCTTTCATGACTCAAGTGAAAGTTCGAAACAGAAACGACGAAGCAGAGAAATTATGTATATAAACATAATGTTGTGAACTATTATATGTATTAATTAATTCATTCAGTAAAATAACCTCTTAGAAAAAAAGAAACAATTGCCTGTCCATCATTAATTTTGACTTTAAACTTTCTTTGAAAAAACTACCCCGTAGACAATGGAGCGCAAATTCATACCGGATATACGTCACATGCACAGCACATGCGCAGGCGCAACGTGCGCCCTTTTTAACGTTTTTTTAAACTTAATATAGTCATGAATGTTATTTTTGTTTGTCGAGGGTGGTGCTTTCTGGCTGATTTATACTAACATGAGTTGCGTGAGTTTACAATTAATACTGCTCCGGCGTTTACGGCAAAAAGCTACTGGGAAACAATTTGTCTTCTGGCAATTTGAAACGACCTTTCGCAGTGCATTGTCTTTTTTTTTGTCAAGTGCAGGAACAAGTGCGGCCAACATGTGACAGCGACATGTTGCAGATTGTGTTCCGTTCGTTGTGGACATTTTTCTGTTCATTTTGGGGAATGTGCCAGTTAGAAATGTTTTTGACTAGACAATGTATAATTATATGTATCCAGAAACTGTCTTTTTCTTTTTTCTTTTGGTGTAGCTACTTAAATTGTAATCCGCAGTGCTATGCAGGTACTTTAGTAAGTCACTTAGTAACATTAACAGCCTAAATTACAGAACTCTCAGTCCAAGGAGGTACTAAGAACTCATAAAGCTAAAGAAGTATTACACGTAGCTACCATCCTTAAAGAGGAGATTTATTCGTTAAATTCTCTCGGAAATAAACAAAACGCGACGTCTCCTTCCGAGGGCTATAACTGCCTATAACACACACTTTTAGTACGAACATGTCATTAAGTTCGTGAGCGAGTCACAACAGTTCTTTATCCGACTAATGTTGGAGATAAGTAATGAGTTAGTTGCGCATGCGCAGCTGTGCCCAGAACTCTTTTATTGATCACTGATCGATGTTTAATGGAGTCTCTGTCGTCGGCTCAGGCGTTTGGGATGTGGTTTTGTCATTTATCAATGTTTTATAACTTGTAAATGTGATTTAAAATAGCTTATGTTAGGGAATTTCTTTGGAAATGTCGCTCGGAATGTTGCGGTAAGATTCTGGCGCATACAATAAGGGCTTTAAATTTTTTTTCAGATTTTTTTTTAATTTCAATATTTTTAGAGACTATTAACAGTTGCTATCAATCTTGCAGTCTTGAAGAAAGATAAAAATTTACCATTAATTAAGATGTCTTCTTGAGATTAATGTGTTTATATGTTAATCTGTAGTTACGATGAAGATTTGTCTTCATCTCACATCTCTTATATCGTCTTCAAGAAAACAGAGAGCCCAAAAAAGTTTAACCCTGACCAATTATGAAGTCACCATTCAAATCCGTCAAGCCGTCGCTACTTATCTACCATGTAACAACAGAATCTTTTATGCTTATTCTTATCGGAGAAATATTTGTTTAAAAATGCGTCTATTATCAGTGGCAACGATAGTTTACTTTGAATCGCTGCTTGTGCATGTTCGTGTACAGATAACCTATGGACCACACGATGCCCCCTTATCTTCGCACCGGGACAACTCATCTTTTAAAAAAGATATTTTTAGATGCATTGCTGTGTTGTTGAATTATGTGTGTAAGCTGTGAAGATTTTTTGAATTGCAACCTTTTTTTATGTAAGGAAATGAAAGAGAGAGACCTACATACCTAATTGCAATTTTTTGCGTATTCTTTACCTCCTAGTTTCTGTCAACTGCTTTGTTCGTGAAGAAAATTAACCTGTGTGTGTGTGTGTGTGTGTGTGTGTGTGTAAGATTATTTTATTTATATTTTTTTACTTTACAATATTTGGTTAGTGTTTTAGTGTTGTAGGTTAAACGAATGAAATTGCGGAACTAAATATTAAACGCTCTTTATTCAAATGACCTTACTGGAATAAAGCAATGGTAGATGCATTAAGATTCATTTCATTTCATGTTGCATCCTCAACTACTTCTGTCCATTTAGCAATAAATGCTCTGGTTTGTGAAGGTATAGTCACATACTACTAGGTATGACATTTTATAAAATATACATAAGCATTTGTCTTAAGATTCTCGCAAGGCTAATAGGCTTGTACTTAGCTTTTTTTTAAATTTTACTCTGGAAATTGTCATTTATCGAAAAGTATGTTTTAAGTCTAACTATGCTAGAGATAAACGAGTATTATCAAGAATAAAAGTATATTTGGTTGTTTGAACGTACTAATCTCCGTGACTTTTATTTCGAATTAAACAATTCTGTTTGTGTTGGATAGTCCATTTATCGAGGTAGATTATGAGCTGTAAAACATCACACTACGGCCAAAGGGAGTAGGTAAATAGTGGGTGATAAACTAGCTCACTTTAAGTATTGCACTAACAACAAAAAACCATTTGACATTTTTTTCCAATGTATCAGATGGTTAGTAGATTCTTACGTCAGTCATTTTACAAGTAAGGTCATATTCGTCATGCAGTTCTCATTATTTATTACTTATAACGTCTTACAGGTAATATTT